GAAATGGGATTGTCCAGATCTCTGCCTCCCAAGGAGCTGGGATTATAGACCTATGCCAGTGTGCCTGGTTCCCTAAGGAGTTTTTGTTGATATTATCGATAAATATTTACTCTATTTAGATAATAAAACTGACAAATTTAAGTAATATGTACTGATTCGCTTAAAACTAATAAATTTCATGTTACCGTAATTGTGCATTTCAATGAAAATAACCATATTTTCCAAAAATTGGTGAGAAAGTGGGTGTTGGTTTGTGTTATATTTTGGGGGGCACTGGTCTCAGAATGCTAAGCCCCCACTCCACCCCTGAGCCACACCTCCGGCTCCCAGGGGAGTTAGTCCCAATTTTGGCAAATCACCATCTGTTGGGTTCAAGTGAGCTTCTGCCTTGGGTCTGCTGGGATTTCCTGGGGACAGTGCTCTGGGCTCGGGAGGGAAGGAGGCCTGAAGAAAGGCAGGTAAATGTCCCTGCATGGCGGTGATGCTGGATGCCCATTACTGTGAAGTCCTTAAAAAGTATGGGAGGGCCGGATATGAGTGGCTCAGGAGGCAGAGATCAGGAGGATCGGGGTTCAAAACCAGCCCAGGGAAATAGTTCATGAGACCCTATCCTGAAAAACCCTTCGCAAAAAAGGGCTGGTGGAGTGGCTTAAGGTGTAGGCCTTGAGTTCAAACCCCAGTACCAAAAAGAAAAGAAAAAGAAAAAGGGTGGGAGAAAACCTTCCGACCCCACTTTGAGAATCACCCCTCCCCCACTCTAACATTGGCTACCTGGGGCCAGGTGACCTAGTTGTTAAGAGACCTGAGTGCTCAGTTGTTCACCCCAGACTTTGTGAGCTAGGACCTCTTCTCTTCCACATGGAATGTTGTTTGTTTGTGTTTGTGGGTTTTTTAGTGGGACTGGGGTTTGAACTCAGTGCTTGGCGCTTGCAAAGTAGTCACTCTGCTGCTCGAACCACACCTCTAGTCCATTTTGCTCTGATTATTTTGGAGATGGGGGCTAGAGAACTATCTGTACAAGGTAGACTCGAACCTCGATCCTTCTGATCTCAAGTAGCTAGGATTACAGGTGTGAGCCTCTGCACCTGGGATGCTGATATTTTTATGTATTTAGAGCACATCTCTTGTAGGAGTGCAGTGAGGCATGGGTGCCTGGCACAGGAGCAAGAAAAAAGCATCTGCTGACATAATTTTGAGAAGCTCATGTGATTTTTCTGATCATGCAATTGTTGGGGGGATAGGATGGGGGAATTGGGGATGGAACCCAGGCCCTCAGCCCTCCGGTAGAATATTTCACCCGAGGCCTGGCGGGTGCTGTGCTTGCTGGGGACCCGGTGATGATAAATCCTGGGGCTCCCAGGTCAGGGGTCACGGAGTTTTTATTAGTGAGGACTGGCCTTTAGCAAGGTCAAGGTGTGTGTTGGGTTCTCAAGGCTGAGAGGGTAAAGGCATTCCAGGAATTGTGAACAGCGGGCAAAGTCAAGGCCAGGGAGGACACAGACGTACTCTGCCATGGGCACTGTCCAGGATCATCGCGTCCATTCCTCCGCCTCTAAAACCTCTCATTTCTGTTGCTGGTGAGAAACAGCTGTGCACATCTGGTCCCAAACACTCTTTTTCTGTAAAACGTTCCTCCATTCTGGACTGGATGCTGGAAGTCCTACTGGCGATCCAACCTCCGTCTCTCCTGCTGCAGAAAGTCTCGTCTTCTTTGTTGCAAATGCATCTGCGGTCCGGTTAGTGGCGTCTGGGGATGTCCCAGCAGCGGAGCGGCCAGCGAGGACTTGGGGTCTGGTCCAGGCGCCTCCACTGCCCCCTTCCCCGGGGAGCCCGCGCTCAGGGCCGGGTGAGTCAGCCCCCGGCGGCTCCGCGTCATCCCGGCCGCTCAGCTCCGCGCTATTTCGGGCTCCGGGCGCTATAAATAGAGGATGGCGGAGCCGAGCCGAGCCGCCCCCCTGTGCCCGGGCCCCTGCGTCCCCGGCCCGCCGCGATGGCCGGCCGCGCGTCACCGCGGCTAAGTTTAGAGGCGGGTGGGGACACTGGCCTGGTCACTGCGCCCCCACGGCCATTGCCCCGATCAGAACCCCAACTCTTTTTCTTTTGGAGGGGGTTGTGCAAAGGGGACCTAAGTTGGACCACCTTGGGGAACCCGAGTGTGGACAGCGCGAGGATTCGAACCCGCAGCCCCCGAGCAGGCTCGAAGGTTCGAGGCCCAAGTGGAGCGCGGAGACCGAACTTGGAAATGATGAGGAACCGAGGACGTTTTCCGCCCTCCGCTAAAGCAAGCCGACTCTGTCACATCCTCCGCGCGCGGCGGGGACCCCGGCCGGGGCGGGGACCGAGGCGCGGGTCCTTTCTGTCCCCAGGGTTCTTGTTTTTGGGGACCCGGGCGCCCCATGTGCCCAGGCTTCTCCCGGGGTGCCGGCGCCCCCTAGCGGAAGATGCAGGACTTGCAGGTTCAGGGCTGGAGATTCTATTCCTCCCACCTGGAGAAACTGAGTCACGCCCTTCTACCCAACTTGGCCTAGCTGACATGGCCTCCGCCCCTGGGCTCGGAGACGCATTTCCCCGGTCCTTCTCCACGTCGCTGGGGCCTGCGTTTCCCCATCTGTCAAATGAGCTAATGATGCTTAGGCAAGGAGGGGGTCTTAGCCCAGGGTAAGGCGGGTCCTGGCCGGGACTCTGTCCCCAGTGCCTAGTGCAGTGGCTGGCACATAAGTGCGCAGATATCCCATCCTGGGATGCACTGTGGTCTTACTGAATTCTCGCAATCTCAGCCATGGCAGATGGGGAAACTGAGGCTCACAGGGGTGAAGCTGCTTGTCTTAGGGCTGGGCTTCTGTCCTTTGTTCATTCACACAATGCACGGCTCAGTAGCTCCCTCTGGTCCTGGGGAGGCCGCACAGGGCTACTTTTATTTATTTATTTATGTTTGGGTGGGACTAGAGTTTGAACTCAGGGCTTCGTGCTTGCAAAGCAGGTATTCTATTGCTTGAGCCACTCCTCCGGTCGAGTTAGCTCTGGGTATTTTGGAGATGGGGTTTCTAGAAGTATTTGCCTGTGTTGGATTTCGAACTCGATCCTCTCAAGTTTAGTCTCCCAAGTAGCTAGGATTACAGGCATGAGTCACAGCTGCCTTGCCTTGGCTACTTATTCGACAACCCCCAGTATACCCTCTACTGTGTACCAATTATAGGTCAAATATCCTCATACATATTAACTTATTTCATTCCCTCAGCAAGTGTCCTGTTCTACCCATTTTAGAGATAGACAAACTGACAAGCTGAGAAGTGAGTTGCTCTTTCAAGAGCACTTTTCTCCTAACCTACTGAAGAGACTGGAAGGAGAATCTTCAGGGTCAGAGGCTTCTCAGAGGTGTCCCAGAAGTTAGGAGTTCCTAACTTTGTTTTTTGTTTTTTCAGCACTGGGGCAGGCACTCAACCCCCTGAGCCACTCTGCCAGCCCAAGTTTCTAACTTTGTAAGAAAAACAATAATCTCAGCAGAGTCTGATGTAGGACAATTAGGAGTTTGAGAACAATCTGGGCTACACAGGGAGATCCTGTCTCAAAAAAAGATGGGTTGGTGGAGTGGCTCAACTGGTAGAGCACCTGCCTAGCAAGCATGAAGCTTACCAAGTTCTGGTACCTGAAGAAAAAAAAGAGAAGGTACTCCAACAGGAAGTAAAAAAAGGAAAATCGTGGGCTTGGCACAGTGACTCACGTCTGTAGTCCCAGCTACTTGGGAGGTGGAGATAGGAGAATGTTAGCTGGAGGCTGGCCCTGGCAAAAGCAGGAGACCCCATCTGAAAAATAAACTGAACCCAAAAAAAGGGAATGGGGGCGTAGCTTAGGTGGTAGAGCACCTTCCTAGTAAGTGTGAGACCCTGAGTTTAAATCACAGTACCGCCAAAAAAAATGTATATATTATATACACACACATATATATAAAACCTTGAACTACATATATATAAACCTGCAGTAAATATATATATATACATATATATATGTAAAACGTGTAAATATTATATATGGCTGGTCTCTTAATACACCAATAGCAAAAGTCACAGATTCGATTAACAAATACTTGCAAATAAGCACTAAGAACCTCAAAACAAAGTGAAAATATCAAGTACAAACCAGGAAGGGAACATTTGTAATATGTGGACTGACTGAACAATGACAATGGGAATCCAAAAAGTGCTCCTAGAAATTCATGCCAATAAAAAAGGCTCATATCCCGCTCATGTTTTATTTGAAAAGAATGTTTAATTGCATTGCCCATTTGTAAAGAAATGGACAAAGGAAATGAGCAAGCCACTCACTGCACACAAACTATGTCAGGCCATTAAACTCACAAAAAGACGTTCAATTTCCTTTAGTAAGCAGAGAGCTGTAAGTCAGAACAGTGTGATTCCATCGCTTCAGGAAATGACTAATCCTGTCATCAGCCAGGTCTGGTCTCCGGTGTCCCCTCCTCCAGGAAGCCCCTCGTGACTCCCAGGTTGGGCCAGGCGCTCCCTCCACCCGGGGCCACCGCCTGCTGGAGTGTCCCCTTCCAGCCCTGCCCACTCTGGGTGTCATTGTTTGGAAATCTGTCTGTCTTTCCTCTCCCACGACTGTAAACCCCCGGATGCCCACGCATGGCTGTCCTTGGTCACTACTGTGTCACTAGCAGCGTCCCGCACAGCGCGGGAAAGCCACAGAAGCTTGTAGGGAATGAATGAGCGAATGGGGACACAGGACAAGTACTCCAAAAAGCGGGGACCTAATTTGATCTCCCGCCGTGTCTTTCCCACTGAGCCCTAAGGGGGCCCCGAACACAGGAAGCGCCTCGATGGGGCTCTGGAATTGCACCGTTTGGCACTGGAGAGCCTCCGGCCGGTACTCCCAGCCTCTCTCCGCAGCCAACCTCCACGGTCCTCCAGGATCATAGAGAACAAGGAAGGAGGGCTCCTCTCTATGCGCTATCCTCGACTGGGGAGCAGCGAGGCGGGTCGAGGGCTAGAGCGGCCGGAAGTGTGAGAGCGAGGGGCCGCGCTGGGCGCGCTGGTGGTGGGCCGTCTCGAATCCCCGTGGTATTTTTTTTTTCCTTCGGGCGGGGAAGTGAGTAGTAGGTGAGTCCTGGCGGTGCTGGGACCCCCGATGTAGGACGGAGAGGGGCGGGAGGTGGAGACGGTGCATGGTGATTGGCAGCCGCAGTAGCCAATCACTGCAGTGACTGAGAAACAACCAAGATGAGGGGAAGGGAGGGCATCCAGGTGCGAGCCCTGGGGCCTGGCCAACGGCTGTCTGGGACCGTGGGGGCGGAGTGAATAGAACGCGAGGCCTAGGAGGGGCGGAGCTAACTGGGGCGTGGACCACTAAGGGGCGGGGTCAGCCCAGGGGGCGTGACCATGGGGCATGCTGTTCAGAGCTTTGGGCGCTGGGTGGTGGGGGCTTGACTCCATGGAACTCGGGATTTTTGGGGCGCAGGGGATTCCTGGGAATAGGGGTACCTGCTGGGAGAATGGGAATGCATTCACCAATGCCTCACTACCTCCTACCACCCCATCTTCCCTCCTAGGCCCCTGATGGACCCTGAGAAAGGCGAAGAGGGGGTACCACAGCCTGCAGGGCCCCCCACGAGGAAGAAATTCATCATCCCGCTGGACGAAGATGAGGTCCCTCCTGCGGGGGTAGGACGAGAAGATGGGGGACCATTGGGTGGCGCTGGATGGGGGGAGACCGTTGGAAGGAAGGAGAGCCGGAAGAGGCCTTGTGGGCATTTTGTGGGCTAGAATTGAGGCCTGGGTCACCTTGGGAAATCAGCCCTTTGTCCGTACAAGCCTCAGTTTCCCCGTCTGTAAAATGTCATGGCACGGTGGTTGTAAGAAAGAGCAAACTGGCAGCTAGGGGCAGCCCCACAGTTTTATATGGCCAGTGCTCTGGTTTTTCAATACTGGATTCTGTGGCTGACACTTAAGAAATGGACGGGCACTGGGGGTTCATGCCTGTTATCATACATATTTGGGAGGCTGAGGTCAGGAGGATCACAGTTCAAAGCCAACCCAGGCTATGTGCTATGTAGTAAAAGAAAGGGGACAAAGGTCATGGGATATGATGAGGAGCCACCTTACTTAGGAAGGTCAAGGGAGCACCTTTCTGAGGAGGTGACATCTGGCAGAGACATAAAATTGGTGAGGGAGCAGGAGATGTCATGAGGACATTAGGGGGCATGGAAGTAACTGGTACAAAGGCCCTGTGGTCAGAGAGGGCCTGACAAATTTGAGGGCCATGAGAAGGCCAATGGAGCTGGAGCAGAGAACACAAAGGGGCCGTAGTAGAAGGCAGGGGGCAGGGGATGGATCTAGATGGTGACAACTTTGGCTTTTACTCTGAGGTAGGAGCAATCCTGGTGAGGTGGGGCATTCTGACTAAGTGGAGAACAGGCAGAGAGCTGGTGAGAAGGTGACTCTAGTGGTCCAAGGGACAGACAAAGATGACTAGGACCAGGATTGAGGCAGAGGAGGGGAGATGTGGCTGGATTCAGACTTGTGTTCCCAGTCCTTGGGGCTTTGCTTCTGAAAGGCACATGGGGAGGAGGGGCAGGGCTCTGAGGGGTTCACGTGCTCCCTGCCTGGGACCCCTACAACTCTCCCTTTCTCCTCACAGGCCAAGCCCCTATTCAGATCCACACGGAACCCACCGACCATGGCAACCTCTGCCCAGGCAGCCCCTCAGACCTATGCTGAGTATGCCGTCTCCCTGCCTTCAGGAGAGGCCGGGACCACTCGTCCTGCCAGCTCAGAACCCCTGGCAGGAGAGACCCTCAGCCAGGCCTTGAAACCAGGTGCAAAATCCAACAGTATCATTGTGAGCCCCCGGCAGGTGAGGAGGGAGAGATGGGGCTTTGGGGTCTTTGGGGGAGGCCCTGGTATAAAGATTACACTGTGGGCAGTAGAAGGAGGTATGAATTCTACCCACTTTCTTCTCAGAGTGCCATTCATTCATTCCTTCATCCGGCAATTACATGTGGGTTTGAGGGTGGTCCAGTTCTTCTTGCTGTAGCTCTGATTATAGTTGTGCAGCTCTGTTTCTGTCCCCAACAAAAAAATCTATTGAACAAGGTCAGGTATGGTAGCTCATGTCTATAATCCTAGCTAAGCAGGAGGCAGAGGTTGGAAGATCTCAGTTTGAGTCCAGCCCAGGGCAAAAGTATAGGAGCCTATCTGAAAAACAGTCTAAAAGCAAAAGGGCTAGAGATGTGGCTCAAGTGATAGAGAGCTTGCCTAGCAAGCTCAAGGCTCTGGGTTCGATGCTAGTACCACAGAGAAACAAATCCACCTGTGGAATGCACACAGGCTTGAGTGTGAATCCCTGCTGTGCCGTGCAGTGGCTGTGTGATCGTGGGCAAGTGACTGAACCCATCTGTGTGTTTAAACAGGGATCTGTTTGTGTGCTTAGACCACAGGCACATTCAGACAGTACCAGATACTGTTCTGGGCTCTGGGGAGAGAGTGATGGAAAGGAAACTAGCAATGTCACTGCCACAGATGGAACCAGCATTGTAGGCAGGGACAGTGGCATTGTATGAAGGTCATATAGGACGCAGGCTTGTGAGAAGATGCTCAATACTGTCAGCCACACAGCAGTGCACATCAGAACCCCAGTGGGCCGGGCATGGGGGAGCACACCTATAATCCCAGCTACTTCGGAAGCAGAGGTAGGAGGATCATGAGTTCCAGACCACTCAAGGCAAACTTTCTGAGATGCCATCTCACAAACAAAATACAGTTGGGCTTGGTGGCTCACAGCCATAATCCTAGCTAATCAGGAGGTAGAGAATATTTCAGTTCATGGCCAGCAAAATAGTTTGTGAGACCCTATCTCAAAAAATCCCAACACAAAAAATGGCTGGTGGAGCAGCTCAAGTGGTAGAGCACCTGACTAGCAAGTGTGAGGCCCTCAGTTCAAATCCCAGTACTGCTGCAAAAAAATTTTTAAAAATTAATTCCCACATCTTGCACAAAAAATTAAACAATGTAATATAAGTATTCATATTGTAAAAAGTGGAAGTCGTGAGTACTATAGTATAATATAACAGGCCAAGCTGTCTTTGAACTTTTTTTTTTAAAAGCTTGTTTTTTTTGGGGGGTGGGGTTTGAACTCTGGGCCTTCACCTTGAGCCACTTCACCAGCCCTTTTTGGTGATGGGTTTTTCAAGATACAGTCTCAGGAACTATTTCCCCAGGCTGGCTTTGAACCGTGATCCTCCTGATCTCTGCCTCCTGAGTAGCTAGGATGACTGGTGTGAGCCACCAGTGCCTGGTTCGTCCTCAAACTTTCAAACTCCTGGGTGTAAGCAGTCCTCCTGCCTCACCCTTCTCAGAGGCTGGGATTATAGGCATGAAACACCATGCCTGGCTCTTTACCTGTTTTTCAGAATGCGTCATCATTGCACACGCCAGCACTCTGCGAGGGTTCCAGTCTTGTATCTCCTTAGCATTTGTCGCTGGCTTTTCACTTTAGATATTCTGGTGGCCATGAACAAAATAATCCTTTCAAAATTAAATTTGGTCGTTGAAACTATTCTAAGAATGGGGGATGGGATAAAGGAGAGTGATGGAGGGGGTGAATTTAGCTAAGATATAATGTAAGCACTTTTGCAAATGTCACAATGTACCCCCAGTGCAACAATAATATAAGAATAAAAATTTTTTAAATTAACTTTGGTGAGTTGCAGGTGTGGCTAAGTAAGTCACATCAGCCCCTATCCCCACCACCACCCCTCGCCAAAAAAAAATTAAACTTTTATCTTAGGAAGAAAAAAGAAAAAAAGAAGACAGAAAAAAAAGAAAAAGAAAAAAAATAAATAAAAACAAAAGTTAGATCCTGCCCTTCCTTTAATCAGTAACCTTCCATGGCTCCCAGGTACCTCAGGCCAGATGTCCCAGGGCCTTATGGGACTCGACCCCCAAACCCTCTTGCTTCTCCAGCTCCTCTGAGCACCCCAGCTATGACAGCACGTTCCACCTTGGATTAGAACCCAGTTCTTCCTCACTTAGAAGTTGCATGTTCATCTTGACATTAATTTTGAAGGATATGAAAAACCTGTGTTTTCCCTTCTACTGTCGCTTACCACTCAACATGTCACTTCAGACACCAGGTATTCTGCAGACCCCAGTCCAGTGCCCTGTAATCTACTCAGTTTTGTCCCTGCTACTGGGAAATAGCATCAGAGCCCACAGGTGGGCTCAGTCCCCAAACCTGCTCCCTACCTGCCCTGGCTTATGGATGGGGGTTCCATGACCCCCGCCTCAGGTTCAGTTAATTTACCAGAGTAGCTCACAGAGCACAGGGAACTCAGAGAAACACTTTCGTTTACTGGTTTGTTTTTATTTTATTTTTTTATATCTTGGCGGTGCCAGGGCCTCATACCTGCTAGGCAAGTGCTCTGCTACCTGAGTGACACCCCAGCCCTGTTCACTGGTTTATTTATTTACTTATTTTCTTTGGTGGGACTAGGGTTTCAACTCAGAGCCTTTCACTTGCAAAGCAGGTGTTCTATCACTTGAGCCACTCCTCCAGTCCATTTTGCTTTGGTTATTTTGTAGATGGTTACCCCATCATGGCCTCCAACCTCGATCTTCCTGATCTCAGCCTCCCAAGTAGCTAGGATTACAGGTGTGATCTGCCAGGTGTGCAGCCTCACTGGTTTATTAATAAGGACTATAATAAGTGAGGCAGAGGAGGGGACACAGATGTGCAGGTGCAGAGGGCAGGGTGCATGGGAAGAGGTGTGGCACTTCCGGCGCCTTCTGGGCCACGGCCTCCAGGATCCTCCACGTGTCTGCTTGTGGCGAAGCTCTCTGAACTCTGTCCTTTAGCCAAGTTTATGGAGGCCTCATTACATAGGCACGGTTGATGACTTCATGGCCATTGGTGATGACTCAGCGTTGAGCCCAGTTGTCCCCAGAGATGGGGGAAGGGGCTGAAAGTCCCCATCTTCTAATACAGTGGTTCGTTCTCTTGGGTACCAGGCACCCGCATTGAGAGGCCACTCAGGAGCCCTCAAGAGTCACCTCATAATCCAACTGGTGGAGTGGCTCGAGTGGGAAAGCACTTGCCTAGTAAGTGTGAGGTCTTGAGTTCAAATCCCAGTACTGAAAAAAGAATAACAGTCAAGGCAAAAGGGAAATTAAAAAAAGAAGTCACCTCATAGCTGAATGAGGTGGCTCACGCCTGTAATCCTGGCTGCTCAGGAGGCAGGGATTGAAAGCAAAAAGAGCTGCGGGTGTGGCTCAAGTGGTACAGCACCTGTCTGGCAAGTGCAAGAACCTGAGTTCAAATTCCAGTGCCAAAAAAAAACCAGCTCCTGTCCCAGGGAATTCCAAAGGCCTTAGGAAGCCTGTGTCAGATGGTATCTGTCGCTCAGGAAATTCTGAAGGTTCTTGGGAGCTGCGTCAGGAATTGGGATCAAAGACCAAATGTCAGAACAAAAGGTTCTCCTGGTGTTCTGTTTACCAGGGTTTCAGAGAGTTTTTAGTTGTTGTTTTGTTTTGTATTTTGAGACAGGGTCTCACTATCTCACTATGTAGCCCAGGCTGGCCTCAAACCGGTGATTCTCCTGCCTCAGCCTCCCAAGGGGTGGGATTACAGGTATGAACCGCCAGGCTGGGTGAGATCTGTGTTTTGAATAGAGGGAGAGACTGAATATATATGTCTTACTGTATTACGGTATTGTAATATTTGTAGATCTTGGTCCGTCTTGGTCACTGCTTTATCCCCAGCACTCAGACACACAGTAGGTCCTTAATGCAGGTTCACTGATTAGAGCTTGACTTGCCCAAAGACTTTTTTTTTTTTGCCCCAAAATTTTAAGTTTTAGGTTATAGAGTATATTCTGGATAGAGCACAACCCAGGGAATTGGGAGAGAATGGCCTTTGAGCAGGGCCAGCCTGAAGAGGATCACAAGCCACCAGTGGGCTTCCTCCTGAGGGTACTGGGGAACCATAGCAGGTCTTAGAGCAGGGATGGGGCAGGTTTGTTCTTAAGAAGATTCCTCTGGCTGTCATCTGCAGGGTGGGCAAGGGGCAGCATATTGGCAGCCTGGGCCATGGTGAGGCAGTTTAAAAGGAGACATCTGTGAGGGATATTAGTGTCACTTGAGATGCTAGGGAGAGAAGGGTGCAGGTCAAGCATGGGTCTCTAGCCAGGATGATGTTGAGGTTAGCTTGGATACAGTCTGTGTGGGGGGCGGGATACATCAGATCACAGGAACAAGTGATTCAGGCTGGAGGTGAGCAGGGATGGGGGGGCAGCTAGGTGAGAGCATCTGGAACATTCCAGAGGAGGAGCAGGTATAGGCAGAGGAGAGATGCTGGAAAAGACCCAGGCACTGGGGGAGAGGTGGAGGGCAGGGGGTGGTGGGGAGAGGTAGGGGGGAGCCAGGGCCTCCCCATGGTCCCAGGCTCATTCCCGTGACTGATCCTGCTCGCTTCTGTCCCCAGAGGGGCAACCCAGTGCTGAAGTTCGTGCGCAATGTACCCTGGGAATTTGGCGATGTGATCCCTGACTACGTGCTGGGCCAAAGCACCTGTGCCCTCTTCCTCAGGTGAGCGCTCGGGGAGGGCGCCAGGGGCCCGCAGGCCTTCCGCCACTCTAGACCTCTCCACGGGAGGCCTCTGGGCTGAGTCTCATGGGTTCTGGGCAAGGTGCCACTCTGGGTTGGAGGATGGGACCCTGGTCTGGAGGTACCCAGAGCACCAAGAGTTGGGCCTGGACCCATGGGTCTGAGGGAGGAGATGGGGTCACCAGTGTCCCTGACATTGCTGAGCATCAAGAACAATAGGAAGTGTCTAATCTCACTCTAGCTCTGTACCTCGGGGGTGTCTGCAGTCAGGCCAGAGGAAGTGACACTTCCAGGTCCCCAGTCCCCTGGTGACACAGCCTATCCCCCTTTGTTTTCTTTGCTTTTTTGGTATTGGGGTTTGAACTCAGGGCCTCACGCTTGCTAGGAAAGGGTCCTACCATGTGAGCCGCTCTGCAGCCCCCATGTTCCTTTCTGCCAGCATCCACTGGGGCCAAAGGAACAGAGGGCTGGGGCTGGTTCCCGCCATTCACTGACCCCCTGTGGTCCACCCGCTCTAGTACCCCGGCTCCTGCTCCCCTGAGGCCCAAGCCTCTACCCTCCTCAGTGAGGAAGCGGGGTGTCCACCATGCTGGAGCAGCAGGCAGCCCCTGCTGCCCCCCTTGATCTTGGGCAAGTTGCTTAACCTTTCTGGGCCTCCGGTAAGGCTGTAGGTCTCAGACACATGACTAGTTGCAGTAAGGATACAGAAGGGCTTTTGGGGTCTCCAGGACATGAAGACCCCTATTCACCAACTCCCCTACCTCCACCAGCCTCCGCTACCACAACCTCCACCCCGATTACATCCACCAGCGGCTGCAGAGCCTGGGGAAGAACTTTGCGCTGCGCGTCCTGTTGGTGCAGGTGGACGTGGTAAGCAGCTCGCGCCTCAGCTGGCCTCGTCATTCCCATCTGTGAAATGGGTAGTGTGGAGCCTCACGGTCATGAAGTGGACCACTGAACCTCTTCCAGGAAGAGATCCTTTACCAGTCACCAGTGGCTCACGCCTGTGATCCTAGCTACTTGGGAGGCTGAGATCGGGAGGATCGTGGTTCAAGGCTAGCCCAGGCAAATAGTTTGTGAGACCCTATCTTGAAGATAACCAGAGCTAAATGGACTGGAGGTGTGGCTCAAGTGGTAGAGCACCTGCTTTGCAAGTGTGAGGCCCTGAGTTCAAATCCCAGTCCCTCCAAAAAAAATCAAAATGTCCCTGCCAGATCCAAGCCGCCTTCTCTCCTATCTGGGTCCCTGTCCCTGCCTCCTTACTGGTCTCATCACCTCCAGTGTTGTTCCTTCCAAAAATGTCTCCAAGAGCATAGATCTGATGTCACCTTCCCCTGCTCAAAATGCTTCCATGACTCCCTAGCACCCCAGGAGTAAATTCTCCTTCTCTCCATGACCCATGAAGCTGTTTTACTCGGCATCCTCAGCATTCCAGGGTCATCTCTAAGTTTTCTTTTCTTCCTTTTGTTCTTTTTGGAGACAGGGTCCTGTAATGCAGCCAAGGGTGGTTGGAACTCATGAACCTCCTGCCTCTGCCCTCTGAGTGCTGGGACTACAGGCATGCCCCACTATGCCTGGACTGCCTTTCAGTCACTGTCCTCCATCCCATATGGAGTAATGTGCAGTTCCTCACACCCTTCCCCTGCTATGCATTGCGTGTGCTGTTCTCTAGGTCTGGGATTTCCTGTTCTGCCATCCTTTGCTTCCTTCTCTCCTCATCCTCCTCTAGGAAGTCCTCTCTGATCCCCCCAGGCAGGCCAAGGCTCACCCATCCCAGTCCTGACCCCTCTAGGTCATCACAGTATGGGGATGGGCCAGGCTGTGTGCACAGGAGGACAGAGCCAGGGCTGTCTTAGTCACTGTCAGGTCCTGGCAGTGCCCACCACAGGCTGGGCACCCAGTAGGAGCTGACTGAAAGGCTCCTGGCACCCTGTTACTGTGTTTTCAGTCTTCCTCTGATTCTGATTAATTTTCATCCCTTCCAGAAAGATCCTCAGCAGGCCCTCAAGGAGCTGGCTAAGATGTGCATCCTGGCTGACTGCACACTGGTCCTCGCCTGGAGGTGAGATCACCACCCATCCCCTTACCCTCCCTGCTCATTCTTCCCTTCTCCATCTGCGAGCTTCCGTGTGAATCTGGCCCAGGCTCTGTCCCTCCATGGCCTCAGTGTCCTCATCTGAAAAATGGGCTTTTCATAGCTTTCTTTTTTTTTTTTTTGGTGGGACCAGGATTTAAACTCAGGGCTTCATGCTTGCAAAGCGGGAGCTCTACCACTTAAGCCACACCTCCAGTCCACTTTGTTGTGGTTATTTTGGGGATGGGGTCTCCCAAACTGTTTACCTAGACTAGCCTCAAACCATGATCCTCTCGATCTCAGCCTCTCAAGTAGCCAGGATTACAGGTGTGTGTCACCTGTGCCCAGCTTCATACCCTTCTTGTAGGGTTGGAGGCACAAAAGCATGTGACAAATCACGTTCTTAGGACTGTGCTATTCCTGAATTAGACATCAAAGCTGACTGAAGAATTAATCCCACACGAGGCTTCTTTTTTTCCTTTGGTGGCACTGGGGTTTGAACTTAGGTGTCACACTTGCTAGGCAGGCACTCTACTGCTTGAGCCACGCCCCAACCCAATCTCTAGGCTTCTAAAGACCACTGAAGTTAACTGTCCATTTGGGAAGACAAAAAAAGCCATTACTTCTTCACCCTATAAACAGAATTCAACTCTGATGAATTAATAGCCTTAACCCTAAAAACAAAGCAAGACAAGCCAAGTGTAGTGACTCACACCTGTAATCCTAGCTACTTTGGGTGCAGAGATTGGCAGGATCTTGGTTTGAGGCCAGTCCAGGCAAAAAGTTTGAGAGAGCCCATCTCAATCAATAAAAGCTGGGTGTTGTGTGGCACACCTGTCATTCCAGCTGCACAGGAAGACTAGACAGGAGGATCTCTGTCCAGGCCTGCCCGGGCATAACTGTGAGACCCTATATGAAAACAGCTAAAGTAAAAAGGGATATGGACATAGCTCAAGTGGTCAGGCATCTGCCTACCAAGTGCAACGAGTTCAAACCCCAGAACTACCAGAAAAAGTGTCTTAAGAAATCCTATAGGATATTTTTTATAATCCTGGAGTATGAAAAATCTTCCAAAGTGAGACAAAAACCCCAGAAGCCAAAAAGGAAAAGTTTGGATGAACCAATAAACTTAAAAAAAAAAAAATTTAAACTTGTGAAGCCAAGTGGTGGTTCATGGCTATAATCCCAGCAGTCGGAGGGTGCTGAAGCAGGAGGACCACAGATGAAAGCCAACCTGGGCTGAATAGTGAGACCCTGTCTCAAACAAAGAAACAAAAAATAACACCAAAAAAACACCAAAAAATTAAACTTCTAAGTGCTAACAGGTACCATAAATAAAGTTCAAAGACAAGTGACAAACTAAGAAATACTTGCTATCTATCTATCTACCTATCTACCTACCTATCTATCTATCTATCTATCTATAGCCGGGGGCACCGGTGGCTCACACCTGTAATCACAGCTACTCAGAAGGCAGAGATCAGGAGAATTGTGGTTGGAAGCCAGCCCTGGGCAAATAGTTCAAGACCCTATCTTGAAAAAAAAAAAAATCACAAAAAAGAGCTAGTGGAGTGGCTCAAGGTATAGGCCCTGAGTTCAAAGCTCCAGTACCACAAAAAAAAAAAAAAAAAATTTAAGGATCACTGGAGTCCAGAAGTCTCAGGCCAACTGGAAAATCATTTAAAGATGACATCTCAAAAACAAACAGGGCAGGGAATAGTGGCTCACATCTGTAATCCTAGCTACTTGAGGCTGAGATCAGGAGGATCATGGTTTGAGGCTAGCCCTGGCAAATACTTCATGAGACCCCCCATCTCCAAAATAACCAGAGCAAAATGGACTGGAGGCATGGCTCAAGTAATTGAACACCTGCTTAGCAAGCACAAGGCCCTGAGTTCAAACCCCAGTCCCACCAAAAAAACAAACAAGACCACTTTTAGCAGCCCCATTTTTCTGGAGGTGGGAAGATGACCGTTTCTGGAGGTCATCTTACTGTAAGTTTTCCTCCCTCTCAAATGCAGCCCCTGGGCTGGGTGTGTAGCTCAGTGATAGAGCACTTACCTAGCATGCACAAAGTCCTGGGTTCAAATCTCCAGCACAACAAAGAAATGCAGCACTAACATTTGTTGCCCTCCCTTTCAAAATAGCTAGCTTTTTGAAAAAAAAATCTTTCCTCCTTTATTTATTTACTTGGTGGACTTGGGGTTTGAACTCCGGTGCTTGTGCTTGGTAGGTAGGTGCTCTACCAATTGAGCCACTCCCCCGGCCACAGCTAGCATTACTTAACAGGCTTCTATGAATCAACTCTGATCACTGACAGAACACTGACCCATTTAATCCTCACAGCTCTCCCACCACCTGCTTTGCAGATGAGGAACCAGGCCCACCAAGATGCAGTCACTAGCCTAGTGTCTCCCAGGCAGAAAGTAGGGCCTGACCCCAAGCGATCAAGCCCCCAAGATCTAGCCCTAAACCAGAAAAGGAATGTCAGGGTGGTGTGGTGGCACACGCCCATAATCCCAGCATTGGGGAGGCTGAGGCAGGAGGATCAAGGATTCAAGGCCAGCCTAAACTACACAGCAAGATCCTGTTTCGAAGAAAAAAGTGTCAAGAAGTGGAGTGGAGGGCTGGGAATGTTCATGTTTCTCTAAGTTGGAGTTTGGAGTTGAGTCTGGATGAACTAAAATCTAGAACATGCTAGATCTGTCACCTAACTAGCCACTGTCCTGTCACCCCTGTCACCCCAGCCCCGAGGAAGCCGGGCGGTACCTGGAGACCTACAAGGCCTATGAGCAAAAGCCGGCTGACCTCCTGATGGAGAAGCTGGAGCAGGACTTCCTGTCCAGGGTGAGGCCACAACCCTCCCTCCTGTCCTCCTACCCGTAGGACTTGTTGGGACACTTTTGCTTCTTTTTTTTTTTCTCCCATTTTCTCTTGGGACACTTTTATTATAGTTTTTAAGCTTAAGGCTATTAATTCATCAGGGCTTCATTCTGTATGGTGTGAGAAAGGGATATCTTTTTCCCCCAAACATGAGTCACTTTATTTTTTGCAGTACTGGGGTTTGAACTCAGGGCCACCCACGCTTGCTAGGCAAGTGCTCTACCATTTGAGCAAAGCTCACCCTGCCCTTTCCACCTACTGGCAGCTGATAGGTCTCCTAAGTGCAAACCTGACCCTGCCCTCCAGGCTCCAATCTTTCCCGGGGCTCCCCAGTGCTCTCAGGGAAGTCCAGCCTCTCCCCATGTGTACGATGGCCTGTGCTTATCCTGAGCCTACCCAACCCCTCTGAGCATTGACCATTTTATTTCCACTGCCTCTGTCCATCTGTCACCTTCCAGCTGTGATGCCCCCTCCTCCGGGAAGACTTCTCTGATCCCCAGGTCAGGTGAAATATCCCTTGTGGACTTTCCCATTCTAGCTTTGTCCATGTTGGTCATCACTGTCTAGAATTATCTGTCTCCCCAATGGACTGTGGTCATACGGGGACAGGACTGGGACTGTCTTGTGTTCCCGGCACTGTTCAGCACTCAGAGTGTTTACTGAATGACTTGCCGACCCTGGGCTCGAATGAAGGACCCTGCCATTATAGATGCCCTGGGAGTTCTCCTGTGGGGTGACACAGCAGAAGACCCACTAGACAGTCAGGGCCTCATGTCTACAGTAGCATCACCTCCAAGGAAGGTTCTGGAACCCCATCTCCTGAGGGAGGCAGTGAAGTCACTCATTCCACGCCACACAGCCAGGAACCAGCAGGGCTAGGACTTGACCCTAAGCAGCCAGCAATGGTCCGGTGCTGCCTTCCTGGGCTGTTACTGGTCCTTCTCTTCTGAACACATCCTTTCTCCTCCTGTTCCAGGCCACTGAGTGTCTGACCACGGTGAAGTCAGTCAACAAAACGGACAGCCAGACCCTCCTGGCTACTTTTGGAGTAAGGACGCCATGCCCTATCCTGTCCTGCCTGGCATTTCTTCCTCATGTTTTCTAAGCCCCCCACAGCTCCCACCCCCTTGCAGGAACACCTTAGGTCCCTCCCTGGCTGGGAAAAGGGGAGTTTCACGCACACCTTCCCTGACCCCTGCTTCCTCTTCCTTCAGTCTCTGGAACAGCTCATGGGTGCATCTCGGGAAGACCTGGCCTTGTGTCCCGGCCTGGGCCCCCAGAAGGTAAGAGCTCTGGGTGAAGAGTGGGCCCCAAGTCAGCAGGGGCTCCCACCCCTAAGTTTTAAGGCTTTGGAAATCCACTTACGTGTCTCTTTCTCTCTGTTTGTAGTACCGGGGACTTGAACCCAGGGCTTCCCGAATGCTAGCCGAGGCTCTTACCAATAAGCCAAGCCCCCAATTTTGTCTTAATTTTTTTTGAGACAGGATCACACTAACTTTGACCAGACCGGCTTCAAATTCACAATTCTCTTGCCTCTGCCTCCTGGGTGGCTGGGATTAGAGGCGGGTACTGGCACACCTGGCTTACATTTCCCTCTCTTTCTTACACATGGAGAAACAGGCCCAAGAGGACAGGGGCAGCCCAACCTCAGAGGAGCAGGCTAGGGTGGAGTCACACTGGCTACATCTCGCTCCCAGACCACAGTGCCTCTCCAAGCTGGGAGAGAAAAAGCCAAAAAGCCACTACAGATTTAGTAAACAAAGGGCTGCTTTAATGACAACACTTCATTTCTCTCCTCGCCCCAGGCCCGCAGGCTCTTTGATGTCCTACATGAGCCCTTCCTGAAAGTGCCCCGGTGACCTTGGCTGTTGAAGAGACCCTGGTGTCATAATAAAGCATTTTCCAGGTGCGGGCTCCTGCTAAGTGTGCTTATGGGGAGGTTGCTGGCTGGAGAGGGGTTTGCCTCTGCGCTCGCCTTCTGATGGCCAACTCAGGCTTTTTGAGTGCCTCAGTTTCCCCAGAGAGGCTACACAAGATCCTGCTGTGGCTTCTTCTCCAGATCTAGAAGTAGCTTTAGGGTCTTCTGGGGCACCATCTCTGAACTCACTTTTCTGACCCCCTTTCTCTTCTTGGTGGATCCTGGAGCTGCCCTGGCCTCAGGCTGCAGTCTCTCTTGGTGGGTCTGGCATCTCAGTCCTGGGTTGTCATTTTGTGCCTCTCTCCTTGGAGGATGCTAGAGTCCCTAAAGTTCAAGGTCACTTGGCAGCTCAGGCTCCACTGCTGCTGGCCTCACATCTGCCACTTTTCTTTCTTTTTCTTCTTCTTCCTGGGGGACAGAGTGGCCTCAGCTAGAGGCTCCACTTCATCCAGGAATCCAGTCTCCACTTCTACCCCACCGAGTGCTGGCAGCCCCATCTCTGGCTCCATTGCCTCAGTTCCCAGCTCCATCATCACACTTTCCTTCTTTTTTTTCTTTACCTTCTTTATGGGGGACAGAGGGGTGGCTTCCTCCTGTGTTTCCACCTTCACCTGCGGCTCACAGTCAACTATGGTTCCCTCCACTGGCCCTGTCACTTCGGCCCTCTTCTGCCTCTTTCTCTTCTTGGTGGGTGACAGGACTGTCTCTTCAGGAGGCTGGGTTTTAACAAGTTCTGCCTCCAATGGGTTTTCTCCTTGCTCCTGCACCCCCACTTCTGACTGTATGATTTCTGCCCCTTTGGTCTTCTTCTTCTTCTTTGTGGGGGACTGGACCAGGGCTCCCACAGGCTCCATCACCTCAGCCACAGGCTCCAACACCTCGGGTTCATCCACCTGCTGCTTTTTCTTTTTCTTCTTCTTCCTCTCCACATCCATTTCTGGGGCCCTCCAGGCTGTGTCCATCTCCGGGATCCCATGCCCATTCACTGTCTCCTGAGTGCCTGAGGCCTCTGCCACCTGCCTCTTCTTTCTCTTCTTCTTTGAGGTGGGTGACTTGAGTGCCAAGGATGAACCAGGCCCGGTGACAGGTGGACTGCCTCCAAAGGCACAGAACCGAGGCCTCAGGCCAGGGGGGATCTGGGGTGGGGAACTTGCTGGAATGGGCTGTAGAGGGGACCCTTGCAGGGATTCTTGGGGACCCTCAATGATCCTTAGGCTGCCGTGGGGGGCTGGAGCACAGGTGAGTCCACCTCCTGCCACTATGGAGGGAGCTAGCAAGGTGGCTTCTCCAGCCTGGGGGACGCTGCTGCTGAGGACCTGGTAGCGGTGCCGCTTGCCATCTACCTTCCCCTTCACAATCCTGGCGCCAGAGAGAGGCACACGCTGCCCGTCGAGGCTGAAAGGAGAAAGAGGGAGGGCAGAAACTTGGTCAGACCCTTTTAGGGGTACAGGAGCTAAAAGCAGCATTTTGGGGTTGTGCAGAACTGTCCCCCTAAAATTCTCCCCAGTTGAGCCTCAGAGGGACAAGTAGCAATGGGACCACTCACCAGGCTGGGGCAAAGTCTGCAGGGGCCTGGATAAGCCACAGCTCCGTATCTGGACCGGTCAGCGCCTCCAACGACAAACGAGGGGACTCCGAGGCTGGGGGCATCGCAGTGAAGTTGGGGGGACAAGAGAACCGAGAGGGACCTGGGGGAAAAGGCGAAAACAGGGTCTGTCGACACATCCAATCCTGCAGGGCGCCTATCGGTCCGTTGGGCCCGTACCCTGGTGTCGCATCTACCCACCCGTTCTCAAGAGGCGTCCCCATCTCCACCCGAGGGGTCCCTTCTCTTCACCGGTTGCCCCCTATCCAAACTCCCGCCCCGCGGTGGGGAGACACACTCTCTCTTCCCGCCCCCACTCTGGGGATGCCCTTTCCCCAACCCCAGGCATTTTCTGGCCACCCGTTCTCCTCCCCCGGCCCTCCCTCGGCACCCCATCCCCGTGCCGGCTCACCCGGGGCCTGGATCCCCTCCATCCCGAGACCCCCCACAGCGCGCAGTCCCAGCAGCCAGACCAGCTCTGACCCGTTGCGGACCACGTGGACCCACGGGGGCAGGGCCTCATCCGGAAGCGCCCATGTGTCAAGGGACCGCAGGGGTGTTGCTTGGTGTCTGCTCACATTCCTGGCAGAACTGAGGGAAATTTCCAGATCTGCAGAGCAGGAAACCAAAGAACAAGGCTTTTATCAAAAAGTCTTCTCCAGAAAGAAACTGATTCACTTTTTTCTGAAATCAGAGCCTCTCCAGCTCTCGGCGGATCTCCCCCAGTCTCTCAGACATGATTTGTTCCAACACCGACTTAAAGGGGCAGTCACACTAATAGAACCTAACTCTTAAAGAGATAGGAAGACCGATTGGGCTGAAATTCTTGGAGAGGCAGGTAAGTATCGTCGCTGGCAGGGGTGTGCTCTCAGTGATAGAATCCCTTCTAGGGAACCCCGGGAACCCTGGAAGTTTAGGACTGAGTGGGAGAGGCCGGAAAATGGAAGAATGGGGGTATTCCCTCCAGAAGACTTTAAGTAGTAGTCAGGGGCGGGGCTCCTGAGCTCTGGGGGAGCGGGAAACACAGGGGGTGGGGCCTACAGGATCGGGGGCGGAGCCTTAGGCGCGGGAGCTAGACACGCGTGGAGCGATGCGGGATAAGGGGCGGGCCTTGCGGATCGAATGAAACTTGTAGATGCTCTCGAGGACAGAGCCTCGCGCGAGAGAAATATTTCCTATGGCTTTGAGGAAGCGTGGGGGTAGATCGCCCACTCCTCCCTGCCCCGAGGCGCGTGTAAACAGCGGCACGTGGACGAGGATTTGGGGGACGCGCCCACGCTCCTTCCCACCAGCACTGCACCCCGTGGGGCGGCGGGTGGAGCCGCGGGACGACGGCTAGACAGGGTGACCCGACTGCATTCCTGGCCGGTGTGTCAGCTCCTCTTCCCGCCCCCTCTGCTGAGATTTAGGATCCTACTCCAGAATTGGGGTTCCCGCCTTCTCCTGCGGCTTTCCAAAGCTAGGGGAGGGTTAAGGGGAAGTGCTCTCCTCGCCAGGGATCTCCAGACAGTTCCCCCCCGCGCGTGGGCGAGAGACTCCCGGGAGCCCCTCCTGCATGCTTGGAAACTACAATTCCCAGAGGACCCGAGGCGGGGAGGCGCCAGACGTCAGTCATAGGCGCTGCTGGGAACTGTAGTCCCGACTTCGGACTCTTGTTGCTAATGGTTTAGCGAGGTTGTCTTCTCGTCTTGGGGACCGAGTGTGTGAGTTTTCCTCAGCCTCCCATCTTCTACCCTTTTGGTGGCGTCCAAATCTTCTCTCAAGAAAAGGGAAGGCCAGGCGCTGGTAACTCAGGCTTTGTAATCCTTAGCTATTTGGGAGACTGAGATTGGGAGGATGGAGGTTTGAGGCCAGCCTGGGAAAATAGTTTTCCAAACCCCATTACCGAAAATAACCAGAGCAAATCGGACTGGAGGCGTTGTTCGAGTGGTAGAGCGCCTGATTTGCAAGTGCAAACCCATGAGTTCAAACCCCAGTCCTACCAAAAACAAAAACAAAAAAACGGGGGGCGGTGGTGGGGGAGGAGGGACAGTGATGGGAGAGACTCGGCTCTTTCCTGGATCTTGCTGGCCACGTCGCCTCGCCCTCAACTTCTGGGCCTCGCTCTTCCTGTCTGTGAAATGGACTGCGAGTGGCAGTCTCAGTGTCTCACTCTGCGTCCTGCCCCTCCGGGACTACAAATCCCAAGGTGCTCGAGGTGTCCCCGGCCCCCTTCCCCCTGCGGGACCCGCCTCCCTCCAGCCCGAGTCACGTCGTCTAACCTGTTCCCGGCTCCTGACCCGCCCCGTTCTCCGCTCCCGGCCGCTGGAGCCGGCGCGGGAGGAAGCCCCCCGGTGCCAGGATCTGCCCCGGACCCGTGAGTTCCACCCTCCTGGGCGCCAAGTGGCCCTGGAAGAGCCCGACACCGCGTCCCTGGGCGGACTGGGAGGGGACTCGGACGCCAGGTCCCAAGGCAAGATTTTGGGGTGCGCAGATGCCGGGGTCCCTGGACAGAGAGAACTCGGACGATTGATACTGGGAAAAAGGAAGGGGGGCTCGGGTGGCTGAGTTCTTGGAATAGAGGACTCGGATCCCTTGGTCCAGAGCAGACGGTGGAGCTGGGATTGCTGAGGTCCTTGTATTGGAGACTTTCAGAAGTCAGAGTCCCTGGGTAATAATATTGGGGTCTCAGATCCCTGAATCTTGGGCAAAATGGAGACTCGGACAGTGGGGCTCTGGAGTGGATGGTCATCTCTGCCGCCCTCCGGCTACCTTCTCCACTGAGCCTCCGGGACTCAGCAAAATTAAGAGTGCGACGGGGACAGTGGAACTTGGGTCTTAGAAATGGAGCAGGACCAGAACCCGAGGTCCCTCCAGAAGCTGGGTCCCGGCGCTTCCCCATTTTCCAGCTCTGGAGTGGGGGCAGGGGGTGAGAAAACCAGGGCATCTCTCCAACCTCCTCTGTGCGCCTGAGCGAACCCCAACATGTCATTAACCTGGGCGTCAGACCTGCCTAACCAGCGGAGGGACATCCGCCCCAGGGCGCCCCCTGGCGGAGGCGGGGGCCTCTTATTGCCCGTGGGGGTGGGAAATATGTGGGGTTTACAGAGGTCATTCTAGAACCCACGGCAGAATTCCAGAATTCAGGGCTGGTTCCCGGATGCACTTCTGCATTACACAAAGAGAAGGGGTAAACTGAGGCAGAGAGGTCACATAGGCAGCAGAATGGAGGGCCAGGATTTGAAATGCCTCTGCCTCTCTAGGATTCATATCCTCCCACGAGCTTTTCCAACTAACCTCCCTCCCACGGCTCCTTGCGCTGACCCTGAGGTCTGTCTGACCTAAGGTATTGTGGGAGATAAGGGAGGAATAGAGGCTAATTCTGGAGGTGTCTGTCTGTCCTTGAGGCTGGGGGAGGGCAGGGAGAGGCAGGCCCCTCCCTCCGTCTCTCTGTAGCATCTCTCCACCCCCATGCGTCATGGGGGGGATTAGCAAAGGAGGGGGGACAGGACGATCTGGTGCCAGAGGGGTGTTTGCTAATGCCTGGGCTTGAAGGGCAGTTGGTGACAGCCTGAATTGAAATTAAAAATAAGAACCGTGGCTGCCAACCCAGGCTCATGTCATGCCAGGCTGAGGTCTGGCAGGTGTGTGTGTGTGTTGGGGGAGGGATGGGTCCCAATGTCCAAAGAAGTCTCAGGTTCCCCCCAAAGGGGGGACCAATGACATCCATCTTTAATCTGGTTTGCTGGCCCAAGGGAAGGACTCCTCCCTACCGGTGGGGAAACTGAGGCTGGCCAGCAGACATCACTCACACCCTGGGCTTTGGCCGGTTTCTGGCTGAAATTTTCTAGTGTGCTCTCCCAAGTACACACAGGAACGTCTGGGGGAATTTAGGGTTCTGAGATCTGAGGACCTGGAAGCTGAGGCTCTGGGGGCATCAACATGTCAGGCTTTTACAATGTCATGAGGAGCTTAAAGGGCCCCTGTGAGGGACATTACTTTGAGTCTTGAACCCTTCCTTTGTGCCTGCCAGTGTTATCAAATGACAACCCATAATTAAGAAGCCAGATGTGTGAATTTTATTTCCTGTACCGCCCTGTACTAATCAGGGTACATAAATTAGGTCATCCAATCCTCAGACCCCTTTGAGGTTAACATTTTTTCTTTTTCTTGTTTATTTTTTTTTTTTGCGCGGTGCTGGGATTTGAACTCAGGGCCCACACCAGCCCTTTTTTGTGATGGGTTGTTTCGAGATAGGATCTCATGAACTATATACCCAGGCGGGCTTCGAACCTCTTCCTGAGTAGCTAGGAGGTCAAGGTAGTAATTCCCCTGTACACAGGAGAAACTAAACTAACGCAAGATTAGAGGCCCATCCCACAGACGTCCACAGAAGGAAAATCAAGTTCCAGAGAAGCGGGGGTGTCGCGTGACCCCACAAAGCTGGAGGATTGCAACCTGGGCGTTCTCAGTCTGGTCTTAGCTCTGACCGGGTTCTTAGGGAGGATAGTTCTGTAGGAAGCCCACGGGATCCTGAACCCCAAAGGATCTGGCTGGGGTGCAGAGGAAGCTGGGCAAGGACAGCTAGGGCTGGAGTGGAGAGGGGACCGCAGGGAAGAGGACCTGGAGGCGGAGGGCGGGAGCCTGGGAACAGAGGCCGGGCCGCGCCCCCCGCGCCCCGCCCTCCCCGCTCCCCTCCCCAGCCTCGGGAGCCGCACCTGCCCGGGCCCGCCGCGCATTCCCCAGGCCTGAGCTCAGCGCCCGGCCGGCCGGGCTGTCCCTGGCGCCCCCTAGCGGCCCCGATGTCCCCAGCCCCGGGACAGCCCCACCCCAGGGTAGGAATTTCCGTAGACCACGCCAACATGGAATCTGAGAACCATGGGCACTGGGAAGAACCGCTTACTGACGGAATGCTGGCTCTGGAGGCCGCGTAAAATTATTAGGTTTTACTTTTTTTTTTGTTGGTATTGAGGTTCGAACTCACGGCCCTGCGCTTGCTAAGCAGGCACTCCACCAATTGAGCCCCACTCATAGCCCTTTTTGCTTTATTTTTCAGATAGGATCTAGCATTTTGCCCAGGCTGGCCTGGACAGACATCCTCCTACCTATGACTCCCTTGTAGCTGGGATGACAGGCATGCACCACCAGGCCTGGCTTATTGATTGAGATGGGGTGTCACTACTTCCTCCCCAGTCCCCTCGCTAGCCTAAAATTTTGATCCCACTGATCTCCACCTCCCATCATTTTTACATCTTAACGGACAGATTCTTTTAGACTCTGGGAGATTCTAAGAGCTCAGGGGTTTTTGTTTGTTTGTTTGTTTCATTTTTTAGAAGACTGGGGTTTGAACTTAGGAAGGGCTTCACATTTGCAAAGCAGGAGCTCTACTGTTTGAGCCTCACCTCCAGTCCATTTTGCTCTGGTTATTTTGGAAATGGGAATCTTGCAAACTGTTTGTCCAGGGTGGCCTCAAACCTCAACCCTCCCAATCTCAGCCTCCCAAGTAGCTAAGATTATAGGTGTGAGCCATTAGCATCTGGTTAAGGCTCAGTTTTTATTCCTATAGTGTCTCTTTTCTTTCTTTTACTTTGTTTCTTTTTTGATTTTTAAGATAGGGTTTCACTGTGTAGCCCAGGCTGCCCTTGAACGCTCCCTCCTCCTGCCTCAGCCTCCCAAGTGCTGGTATTACAGGCATGCTCCACCATGCCCTACCTCTACTTTTTTTGAGGTCTCAATTTTCAGATCTCTGAATTCCTCCTGAGCTTTACTTGTTAGGTAACTGAAGTATTGTGGTCAGAGTCTGCTTAATTGGGCTTTTTTTCCTGCTCTGAAATTCCAGAGCAGAATGAATGTGGGATAGACAGAAGGCTGAGAATTCTAGACTAACCAAAACAGAGAATTCTAGAATGGTCCAAAGACAAGAATCTTGGACTCAGAATTCCCTCCCAATAGACTGTCAGGTTGAGGATCTGTCTTGGTAGAACTCTGTGATCTCAAAGTCCTTACAAGTTCAAAATGAAGGCCTCTTAGAGCCTCAAGGGGCCTCTTGGAGTAGCAAATTTGCCTCCGTTCTGTGTGGGGACTCATTGTCCAAGGATGAACACTCCCAGTACACGCAAGTGAGCCACCAGCCCCAACAGGTTCTCTTCTTGTGGCTTCCTAGACAGGTCAGCACCAGCATGCCCCGCCCACTGCCCACGCCTGTGCCGCCAAAGCTGAGAAGTCAGTGCAGGGGAGGTGACACCTCTGGCGGGCGTGGCGGGCGTGGCGGCTACCATGGGAATGGGACTGGTGCTGGCTTGACCGGTTCCTGGTGGCCGAGCTGCCTCCCACTGGGCTGGTGACCATAGCTGCCTATCCGCCTCTTGGCCACCTCCCTGTTCCTCCTTCTGACAATGGGTCAGTGTGAGCCAGCTCTCTGGACTGGGGACACTGGGGAGAGAAAACTGAGCAGTCGCTGCCCTCTGGGACCCCTCCAGCCTGGTGGAGACAATGAAGAATAACAAGTGAGGTGTTTGTTTGTTTTGGTGATGTTGGGATTTGAACTCAGGGCTTCAGTTGTTTTTTTTTTTTTGGCAAGCATTCTACCACTTGAGCCACGCCCCCAGCCCTTTTTGGCTTTTGTTTGTTTTTCAGATAGGGTCTCCTGATTTTGTCAGGGCTGGTCTTGGACTGCAATCCTCCTATCTCCACCTAACATGTAGCTGGGATTATAGCTAGTCATGGGTTACCTGCCCCCAGCTTGTTTTAAGATAGGGTCTCGGTAACTTTTTTCTCCTAGGCTGGCCTCAAACCACAATCCTCTCCCACTCCCAAGTGGCTGGGATTACAGGCATGCCCCTCCTGTGCTCAGCACAAGTTGACATCTTCAGCCTTACTTTCTTGCCTACTACAGTGGTTTTGATGGTGGATTGAGTGCATAGCACTTAACACAATTCTTGAAGGCAGCGGCCCTGCAATTAGTGGTTGTTGTTTTACTCCAGGTCATAGGAACGAGTTCCGATATAGAGTAGGTGACATAACTATTATGTTCATGCAGAAATTGATAGCTATTATTTTAGCTTTGTTCGCTGGCACATACTAATTGATCTATAGATATGAAGGAATTGCTTCACCTTATTACGGCTGAGATACAGAGATGGACAAGGAGTCGTGCAAAAAGACAGAATTGGCCAGAGATAGTGAATGAACTGGGCTTTTTTTTTTTTCTTTTTGTTTTTTTGGTGGGACTGGGGTTTGAACTCAGGGCTTCACTCTTGCAAAGCAGGTGCTCTACCTGTTGAGCCACTCCTCCAGTTCATTTTGTTCTGGTTATATTGGAGATGGAGGTCTCCAGAACTATTTGCCTGGGCTGGCCTCAAACCGCGAGTCTCCGGATTTCAGCCTCCCAAATAGCTGAGATTACAGGCGTGAGGCACCGGCGGGGGGGACTGGGGGGGCGGGGGGGCGGGGCATGGACGGGGCTTTTCCCAGCCCGGGAAGTGGAAGGGCAAAGGGTTTCTAGGAGGGGGGGGAGGCCCTGCTGGCTGCCTTGCTCCTGGGGACCCCGCAAGCCCTGAGGGCGGGGTTTGCAGATCCCGGTCTGATCCCCATCCCCACCACTTAGGCGCCCCGCTGCGGCCGGCACCATGGACAGCGAGGCGTTCCAGAGCGCGCGGGACCTTCTGGACCTGAATTTCCAGTGTGAGCGGGGGCGGGGGCGGGGCTGGCGGGGGCGGGGCCTGCGGGGGGCGGGGTCCTGACCGTCGCTCCCGCCCGCCCAGCGCTGGCCATGAAACACATGGATCTGAAGCAGATGGAGCTGGACACGGCGGCGGCCAAGGTGGACGAACTGACCAAGCAGCTGGAGTCGCTGTGGTCAGACTCGCCAGCGCCTCCTGGCCCGCAGGCCGGAGTCTCCCCTAGGGTGAGCCTGATCCCACCCCATCCCCAAGGCCAGCTTCTCCCCACCAGACCAGAGAGGCTTGGATTTCAGGCAAGGCGCCCCACTATGTTTTTTTGTTTTTGTTTTTTGGCAGTATTGGATTTGAACTCAGGGTCCTGTACTCGCTGGGCAGGCACTCTACCACTTGAGCCATACTCCCAGCTATTTTTCAAATAGGGTCTTGCACTTTTGCCTCGGGGCAGCCTCAGACTGTGATCCTCCTGCCTCTGCCTACAGAGTAGCTAGGATTACAGATGTGGTCCGCCTCACCCAGCTTGTTTTTTGAGATAGGGTCTTGCTAACTTTGTTTTGTTTTGTTTTGTTTTGTTTTAAGAAAGAAATTGGGCTGACCTCAAACCACAGTCCTCCTTGCTCCACCTTCTGGCACAAAGGAGGTGATTGGGCTACCTCGGCTGGACTCAGGACTCTCCCTGTCACCTCACTTGGGCTCACTGTGCCTACATTTTCACTCTGGTCAGAGGTTCAACTCGTCTGGTTGACCTTCAGTTTTTGGTGGAGCTAGGGTTCGAACTCAGGGCTTCATACTTGCTAAGGCAAGCAGGCGCTCTACCACTTAACCACACCTCCAGCCCTTTTTGTAATGGGTGTTTTCGAGATAGTATCTGGTGAACTATTTGCCTGGGCTGGCCTTGAAGTGCAATCCTCCTGATCTCTGCCTCCTGAGTAGTTGAGATTACAGGCGTGAGCCACCGGCGCTCAGCCAACTGATGTGTTTTGATTTCCCCCACCGACCCCTCTACTAAATATCTCCTCTAACCCCTCAACGAACCGGCCTTCCCACAGATGTCTCGCTACAGCTCCAGTCCGGTCCCCGAGCCTTTTGGGAACCGAGGGTCCCCCCGGAAGGCAGCCACCGACAATGCAGACACCCCGTTCGGACGCTCCGAGAGTGCTCCGTCCCTGCACCCTTACAGTCCTATGTCCCCCAAGGCCCGGCCGTCGTCCCCGCGCACCCCGCTCTACCTGCAGCCGGACGCCTACGGCAGCCTGGACCGCGCGCCCTCGCCCCGGCCCCGCGCCTTCGAGGGCGCGGGCAGCACCCTTGGTCGTGCGCCCTCCCCGCGGCCGGGGTCAGGCCCACTCCGCCAGCAAGGTCCCCCCACGCCCTTCGACTTCCTGGGCCGGGCGGGATCCCCCCGAGGCAGCCCGTTAGCCGAGGGTCCCCAGGCCTTCTTCCCGGAGCGCGGACCTTCGCCGCGCCCGCCCGCCGCAGCCTATGACTCGCCGCAGGCCCTCGGGAGCCCGCTGCTGGGCGCGGGCGGCAGCGCCTTCGCTCCGCCTCTGCGCGCGCAAGGTGAACTTGACCTTGACCGTGAACTTGGGGCGCGTGGGGGAAGCGTGGGCGTCCGCGGCCAGTCTCCGCTCGCGTCCTCACCTGCAAATGCCCGCAGATGACCTGACCCTGCGTCGGCGGCCCCCGAAAGCCTGGAACGAGTCTGACCTGGACGTGGCGTACGAGAAGAAATCTTCGCAGACGGCTAGTTATGAACGTGAGTGATGGAGACGGCGGGAGTGGGGGTCCCGGGGGCGAAAGCGAACCCCCCTCCATCCTGATGATTTCCGCCTTTTAGGCCTGGATGCCTTCGCGCGGCCCGCCTCGCCTGGCCTGCAGCTGTTGCCATGGAGAGAGAGCAGCCTGGATGGGCTGGGGGCCACGGTCAAGGTGAACCAGGGCAAGGTGAGGGATGCCCCCCTCCTCTCTCTTCTCTCTCTCTCTCTCTCTCTCTTTTTTTTTTTTTTTTCCAGTACTGGGGTTTGAACTCAGGGCCTACACCTTGAGCCACTCCACCAGCCCTTTTTTGTGAAGGGTTTTTGGTTTGTTTGTTTCTTTTGAGATAGGGTCTCCCCAACTATTTGCCAGGACTGGCTTCCAACCGTGATCCTCTCAATCTCTGCCTCCTGAGAGCTGGGATTACAGGCGTGAGCCACCGACACCCGGCTTTCCCTTCTCCTTTTGCTCCCATCTGAGCCTCTCCTCCCCTCTTTCCTTCTCTCTCTTCCCCAGGACAACCTCACCAGTGCCACCCTGCCTCGCAATTACAAGGTGTCCCCGCTGGCCAGCGACAGGCGCTCCGATGTAGGCAGCTACCGCCGCTCGCTGGGCTCCTCAGGGCCCTCTGGCACCTTGCCCCGCAGCTGGCAGCCCGTCAGCCGCATCCCCATGCCCCCCGCAGCCCCGCAGCCCCGCAGCGCCCCGCGCCAGCGCCCCATTCCGCTCAGCATGATCTTCAAGCTGCAGAACGCCTTCTGGGAGCATGGGGCCAGCAGGGCCATGATCCCCGGGTCCCCCATCTTCTCCCGAGCACCCCCACCAAAGCTGCCTCCCCAGCCCCAGCCACCCCCACAACCCCAACCCCAGATGCCCCCCCAGCCCCAACCCCAGCCTCAGCCCCAGGCCCAGGCCCCAGCTCCAGCCCTGCAGCCCCCTCAACAGACTTGGCCCCCTGTGAACGAAGGTGAGTGGGGGCCCTACAGGGCAGGATGGAGGGAGGAGAAATGGCAGAGACTAGACCAGCTGGAAGAGCCAAGCCTCTTTCCAGGCACTGTCCCTGAGAGACCTAGGCTAGATGAGTTTGAATTTGCACAGAAGTCAGGGATGGGCAGTGGTTAAACATGGACCCTAGAGCCAGACTGCCTGGTTCCATCCTGTGTGACTTTAGACAGGTCACTTAACCTCTCTGGGCCTCAATATCCTTGAATGTAATAATAAGTACCATATTTGGATATGGTACTAAAATCATGTGAAGTCTTTAAAATAGGCCCTAACTTATAGTAAGTCCTCAATGGCGGTCATATGAGTTGTAACTAATTATCAATAATTTTTTAGTGTGAGGTCAGTAGAGGCTTAAGTCTCCCTTGGCACACACTTACTGTGTGACTCAGGACAAATTACCTAACGTGTCTGAGCCTCTGTTTTTCCCATGTGTGAAGACATAGTAAGGATACATACCTGATAGGATTGTGACAGGGATTATGAGATGCTGGGTGAAGGATGGTTATTTCCACCTGATTTGAAGCACTGCTGAATGGGGAAAAACAGAAGCTGGTTATGTTTGTTCACTTCCGTAATCCCAGCAACTCAGGAAGCTGCAGCAGGAGGATCACAAGATCAAGGACAACCTGGGCTACATAGTGAGACGCTGTCTCAAAAAAAAAGACCTATCATGCATGTATAGTGCCAGGTACATCCTAAGTGCTCAGTAAATGGTTGGTGTCATAACATATATTATTACAGCCCAGGAAAAGTGTAGTTCAGAGAGGGCAAGGAGTTTCCCTGAGGTCACACAGCATCGTGGCTAGTTGCAGGTCCTGGCAATTGTAGGGAGTCTTGGGGAACTCCTCCTTTGATGGGGCTTTTGTTCCTGCTAGGCCTCCTCAAGCCCCCCACTGAGCTGGAGCCTGAGCCTGAGCTAGAGGGGCTGCTGACACCAGTGTTGGAGGCTGGGGATGCAGATGAAGGCACTGTGACTCGGCCCCTCAGCCCCACAAGGCTGCAGCCAGCGCTGCCACCAGAGGCCCAGTCGGTGCCCGAGCTAGAGGAAGTGGCAAGAGTGCTGGCAGAGATTCCTCGGCCCCTCAAACGCAGGGGCTCCATGGAGCAGAGCCCCGCCGTGGCCCTGCCCCCCACCCACAAGAAGCAGTACCAGCAGATCATCAGCCGCCTCTTTCACCGGCATGGTGGGCCAGGGCCTGGGGGCCCTGAGCCAGAGCTATCTACCATCACCGAGGGATCTGAGGCCAGGGCTGGACCTCCTGCTCCTGCCCCACCTGCTCCCATCCCCACCCCAGCCCCACCCCAGAGCAACCCACCAGAGCAGCCTCAGAGCACGGTAAGTAACAGAAGGAAGGTGGGGTGTGTTACATCTGGATCCGACTATCCCTAGTGAGCCGGGTGCCTGTGGCTACTTGGGAGGCTAAGGGTGGAAGGACTGAGGTTCGAGGCCAGTCTGGGCAAATAGTTTGCAAGACTCCCATCTCCAAAATAACCAGAGCAAAATGGGCTGGAGGTGTGGCTCAAGTGGTAGAGTGCCTGCTTTGCAAGTGCAAAGCCATGAGTTCAAATCCGAGTCCCACTAAAAAAAAAAAAAGAGCCCCAAAGTACATCGGATTAATGGTTGAGATGCAGTCAAGGCTGTGAGGCAGCTTAAGAGAGTCAGGACCCAGGATCTGTCTACCTGGGACTCTGCCATCCCTTGGGGCTAGTTACCCCCATGGTTCAAGATCAAACTCTCCTCAAGTCAGTTAGTGAAAAAGAGAAAATACTCTTTTATTTTTGGTGGTACTGAGTTTTGAACCCAGGGCCTCAGGCTTGCGAGGCTGGCACTCTATAGTTTGAGCCACACCTGCAGCTCAGCCCTTCCCTTTTCAGGCACAACTGGAATTACACATCACACTCTGCCCCATTCCATTGGCCAGGAACCCAGATGCAAGGGAGGCTGGGAAATGTCGTCTAATCTTGACAGCACTGTGTTCAGAACAAGGGAATAGAATGTATGTAGGGGATTCCAGGAGTCTTGTTCCCCTGGAGATGTTTTTGCCTCTTTGATATCCTTGCCTGCAACCTGCTCCCAGCATTCCTTCAGGAGCCTCAGTCTCATACCTGGAAGTACCTTCAGTCTTGGTGTGACACTTGGCCTCTCTGGGAATCTTGTCTCAGTCAAGTCTCTCTCATCCTGGCCACGAGTCTTTGGTGCCTACCTTTTCTAGAGATCTTGGTTTGGTTTTTGTTGTTGTCGTTGTTTGTTTTGAAGGCAGGGTAGGGTCTCCCTGCATAGCCCAGGCTGGTCTTGAACTCATGATACTCTGCCAGAGATCACAGGTGTATACCACCATGCCCAGCTCCCACTCTCTCCTCTTACAAAGAGCAAGTCTCTGAAGCCATGGGTGTTGTGGGTAAGTGTACCAACTTCAGCTCTCTGCTTGCCCAAGTTTGAATCCTGGCTCCACACTGTGCCATTTTGAGCAAGACACTTAGCGTCTCTGGGCCTCAGTTTCCTCTTCTGTCATATGAGAGTGAGAAAAATAGCAGCCATGTCCTAGGACTAAGGATATTAATAGAAAAGCACCTGGCCCATCAGCCTCCCATTAGTGTTAACGTTTGCCCACGGGGGAGGCTGCTGGTCTGGGCTCAGCCCTGCATCATGGCTGTACCACCCTGCGCTCAGTGTGTGTGGACATGCGAGGGACCGTTCCCAGAGAAGAGGGGCCCAGGCAGACACACTAAAATGCCTATTCCTGTGCCATCCTGAGATACAGAACCCTGAAATCAAGAGGGGAACAGTAGGGATGTGTGTGGTGTGGCTCAGTGGCAGAGCGCTTACTCAGAGTGCACCAAGCCCAGGGTTCCATCTCAAGAAAGAGAAAAGGGAAAACGTGTGTGGGGGTGATAACATCTTGAAAGGGGAGCACCGTTCTGTTTGTAGAATCACAAAGGCCTGGCCACAGAAAACCTTGAAATCATAGAATTCAGGGATTAATGCCTGGGGTGTGTGGTTCAAGTGGTAGAGCACTTGCCTACCACGTGTGAGGCTCTAGGTTCAACCTCCAGCACCACACACACACACACACACACACACACACACACACACACACACGCACGCAATGTGTGTGTGTGTCAAGACAGTAAAATTTTAGAATTCTGTAATCCAGGAGGTTTAAAACACAGGATCTGAGCTGGGCATGGTGGTACAGGCCTGTAATCCCAGCACTGGAAAGGCTGAGGTAGGAAGATCCTGAGTTCCAGGCCAGTCTGGGCTACATAGCAAGATCCTGTCTCAAAAACAAGCAAAAAAGGTTTGTTTTTTTTTTAAGTAATAATAATGATTTTTTTTGGCAGTAGTGGGATTTGAACCCAGGGCTTTATGCTTATGAGGCAGGTGCTCTAATCATGACTCCAGCCCTGATTATTAATGATATTTGAAGTCACCAAAGCTGAAAATCAAAGACTCATAATTTAAATTCTAAAATCAGTTTAGTACTCTCGTTTTCTTATAATACAGAATAGCATTTTAAATTAACACTTTCCACCATTAGGATGAACAAACACTAAGGAAACTTGGGAGAGCCAGGCACAGTGGCTAATGCCTGTAATCCTAGCTATTTGGGAGGCTGACATAGGGAGGATTGAAGTTTGAGGCTAGCACAGACAAATAGTTCACAAGACCCCATCTCCAAATTAACTGCAGCAAAATGGGCTGGAGGTGTGGCTCAAGGGGTAGAGCACCTGCTTTGCAGGTGTGAAGCCCTGAGTTCAAATCCCAGTCCCACCAAAACTAACAAAACTTGAGAGAAATATAAATAAATAAATAGAACAAAAATTTTAGCAGGAATAGAGAAGCAGACATTTTGAAGTGTTTTCTTCCAGTCTTTTGAGATGAAATTGCAACAGTAGAATATTAATGTTCTCAATGATAGAATCTCAGGATGGAAGTCTTAGCCCTCAGCAATTTAAAAGACCTCAAGTTAGCATTTGTATAACCACAGCAGATTGGAAACTGGAAATAATGGGATATTCTGTAGCTTTTGGGAATGTGTGAATTCTAGAACCTCTGGAGACAGCCAGGACAAGACTAACAAACACCACACACTCAGAATAAACAAATCTTACAGGAGGAAAATTAAAAAAAAAAAAAAAAGCCTGAGGAGCCAGATGTGGTGGCATAAGTCTGTAATCCCAGCTATTCTGTGGGCAGAGGCAGGAGGATAGCAGTCCTCTGGAGGCTAGCCCGAGCAAATCAAGAGATCCCATCTGTGATCATAGCTACTATTCCAGCTCCAGGCAAATAGTTCTCTAGACCCCATCTTGAAAGAACCCATCACAAGTAAGGGCTGGAGGAGTGACTCAAGCGATAAGAGTGCCTGCCTAGGAAGAGTTGAGTTCAAACCCCTGGGCCGCCGAGAGAGAGAGAGAGAGAGAGAGAGAGAGAGAGAGAGAGAGAGAGAGAGAGAGAGAGAGAGAGAGAGAGAGAGAGAGAGAGAGAGATCCTATCTGTAAAAACAACTTAAAAGCAAAAGGACTGGAGATGGTCAGGTGATGGGGAGGATAGGGGTTTGTATGGGGGAAACAAGGAATACTATAAATCTCTGCACTCCAGGGCTGGTGGAATGGCTCAAGTGGTAGAGCAACTACTCAGGTAGGAGGCCCTGAGTTCAAACCCCAGTACTGCCAAATAAAACCCCACCCAAAACAAACAAAAAAGCCTCAGATTCCAAACATCGGGAATTAACACCTGGGAACATTTTATCTTACCTGCTTCTTACCATGTATTTACTTAACTTGTTTGCTTTTTTGGTTTTTGAAACATTGTCTCGCTATGTAGCCCTGACTGGCCTCCAAATTTAAACTGGCGATCATCCTGCCTCAGCCTCCAGGGTGCTGGGATGACACATGTATACCACCAAACCTGTCCCACAAATTTTTTTTTTTTGTGGGACTGGGGTTTGATCTCAGGACTTTGCACTTGCAAAACAGAAATCTGCTTGAATCACACCTCTATCCAGTCCATTTTGGTTTAGTTACTTTGGAGATGGGGGTACCACAAACTATTTGTGGATACTGGCCTTAAACTATGATCCTCCCAATCTCAGCCTTCTAAGTAGCTAGGATTACAGGTGTGACCATCAGTGCTAGGCTGGCCCAGTTTTTTTTTCAGTATTGGGGTTTGAACTCAGGGGTCATCTTGAGCCACTCTACCAGTCCTTTTTTTGTGAAGTGTATTTTTGAGATAGGGTCTCGAGAACTATTTGCCTGGGCTGGCTTCCAATCATGGTCCTCCTGAACTCTGCCTCCTAGTAACTAGAATTACAGGGGTGAGCCATTGGCACCCGGCTCTTTTTTTTATAAAAGAAATGTGACTTGAATAACTGGCTTCCCCAATCATCACCTTGAAGGCCTAGAATTACTTTGCCATCAAGCCTCTCAGCTTCCTCTAAGGTCTCAGGACTCAAGATTTCAAAGTCAGTCAGAGCGCGGTGGCTCACACCTGTAATCCTAGCTACTCAGGAGAGAGAGATCAGGAGGGTCATGGTTTGAGGCCTGGGCAAATAGTTCTCGAAATCCTGTCTGGAAAATACCTATCACAAAAAAGGGCCGGGGGGGAGTGGCTCAAGTGGTAAAGTACCTACCAGCAAGCTGAATTCAAACCCCAGTGCCGCACCCCCTCCCAAAAAAGATTTAAAAGCCACAGGATTCCCTGACTTGTAGAGAACCAATCTCGAGGAGAACCGAGCTCTGGACCTCTAGGCCTATGTTTACCTCTCCGAGTAATGGGTATGCAGAGCTGACAGTCCCTCCAAGTCCCCGTCCTGTCCTGCAGGAGATGCGCTCTGTGCTGCGGAAAGCCGGATCCCCGCGCAAGGCCCGGCGCGCGCGCCTCAACCCGCTGGTGCTGCTGCTGGACGCGGCGCTGACCGGGGAGCTGGACGTGGTGCAGCAGGCGGTGAAGGAGGTGAGGGTGGCTGAGCCGCACGTGGCGATGTAGGGCGAGCGGGTGACAGCCCAGCCACGGGGATGCTGAGTCTTGTCTTTCCTGGTCCTCCCAGATGAACGACCCTAGCCAGCCCAACGAGGAGGGCATCACCGCCCTGCACAACGCCATCTGTGGCGCCAACTATCCCATCGTGGACTTCCTCATCGCTGCGGGCGCCAATGTCAACTCCCCCGACAGCCACGGCTGGTGAGCCCTGATCCCCACGGGGCGGGCGCGCGCGGCCGTGGGCAGGGGCGTCCCTCTCACGCACCCGTCCCGCGCCTAGGACACCGCTGCACTGCGCGGCCTCCTGCAACGACACGGCCATCTGCACGGCGCTGGTGCAGCACGGCGCCGCAATCTTTGCCACCACGCTCAGCGATGGTGCCACTGCCATCGAGAAGTGCGACCCCTACCGCGAGGGCTACACCGACTGTGCCACCTACCTGGCAGGTGCGAGGCAGGGCGGGGACGCACACCTGGCCGGTGCGCGGGCGCGGGGTGGAGTGGCACGAGGAAGAGGGGGACATGGGGACTGTACCAGCCCCATGACGGGACCACAGAAGAGAGGGACATGGAATGGGTCGTCTGTAGGGGTGAGGACAGGACAGCATGGGGTGGGCGGGACAGTGCCACCTCTAGAGAGAAGGGAGACTTGGAGACTGTGCCGTGCCATTCAGATGGACACCTGGCGCTTTCTCACCTGTGGGGCGGGGAGTTGGAAGTTCCAAAAATGCCATCAAGCTGGCACAGGGCTAGGCAGGTGGGCTCTGCCACCTGTGGGACACCTGGCAGGTGAGCAGGCCGTGGTGCTGGTACGGGGCTTAGGAACCATTTCTCTTGTAGAGAGACACGAGGCTGTCCCAAGTCGCTCTAGGGACCGCGCTACATCACTGGGTTCCCAGGTGGGAGGGGCAAGGTCCGGTCCCTGTCCCTGTCCCCTGGCCGGGCTGTCACATCCCACCGTGCATTTTCAGACGTGGAGCAGAGCATGGGGCTGATGCACAGCGGGGCGGTGTACGCCCTCTGGGACTACAGCGCCGAGTTCGGGGACGAGCTGTCCTTCCGCGAGGGCGAGTCGGTCACGGTGCTGCGGAGGGACGGCCCGGAGGAGACCGACTGGTGGTGGGCAGCGCTGCATGGCCAGGAGGGCTACGTGCCGCGCAACTACTTCGGGGTGAGGCCTTAGGTGATGTCCCCTCCTGCCTGCAGCAGCTTGGAGCAGATATCCCAGGAAAAAGAGGGAGGACGGGCTGGGGAAGTAGCTTGGTGGTGGAGCGCTTGCCTAGCACGTGCCAGACCCTGGGTTCCATCCCCAGCACGGACAAGGGGGAGGGGGGATGACAGTCAATTATTGAGTTAAGGGGCCAGAAGAGTCCATTATTGGTCGTGGGGAGGAGAGGAATAGCCCACTGTGGTAATGGGGGAGGGGGCTGGTTACTGCCTTCCTGCTCCTGATTGGCTCGTGCTCAGTCCGCTGTTTCTATTGGCCGGGGGGCGTGGCTTCTGGCTGCTGGACGCAGTGGGCACTGGGGCTGGGGCTGGCATGCCGGTTGGGGTGCGGGGTGGGAGCTCCTGGTGTCTGTCTGAAGTTCGTCTTCCCTCAGCTCTTCCCCAGGGTGAAGCCTCAGAGGAACAAAGTCTAGCAGGACAGAAGGACATTTCCCAGGGAGACAAGAGCAAGCCGGGCTGCAGAGCTCCAGAGCTCCCTCCCCTGCACTTACTGCCCCTGGCCCCGCAGGGGTGCGGCCCTCACCAGGAGTTCTCTGCTCTCCCAGAAGCGCAGGGGAGAACTCCAGCCTTACGTTTAGGAACCTGCCTTAGCCATTGGAGGCCCAGGGGGCAAGGTTGGGAATCTTTGCGGGCAGGAGGCCTCCCTCCCCCTAATTTGCCAAATCTGATCCTGTCCAAAGTGCCTCTCTCACTTGCTCGGGTCAGGATCCCTGCCCCAACTCTCCCCAAATTAAGTGCCTTCATAAAGTGCTGACTTTATGTTTATAACAAATTGGGGACTTTTTCTTTATAAATAAAGGTAGTTTGCACAGAAATTGACTCCTCTCTCTCTTTTCGGTTCTGAAGTTTGAACTCAGGGCCTACACCTTGAGCCACTCCACCAGCCCTTTCTTGTGATGGGTTTTTTCAAGATAGAGTCTCTCAAACTATTTGCCCGGGAGCTTTCTAACTGGGATCTTCCTGATCTGATTCCTGAGTAGCTAGGATTACAGGCGTGAGCCACCAGCGCCAGGTGTATTACATTTTTGTCTCTGTAACAAAATATCTCAGGCAGGCTAACTTCATAAAAGAGATTTATTGAGCCGAGTGTGGTGGTACACATCTGAAATGCCTGCCCTTCAGAAGTTGAGCAGGGAAGAGCTAGAGTTGAAGGGCAGCCTGGGCTACATACTGACACCCTGTCCAAAAAACTTAAAAAAAAAAAAGTTTATTTATCTCACAGTTCTGGAGGCTGGAGGTTAAGTTCAAGCAGCATGACACTGGCTCTGGCAAGAGCCCATGGCTTGTGGTGCAAGTGTTGATGAGAGGAAGCGATTGCATGATGATAAAGAAGCAGGTGTCAGTGCTCACGCCTGTAATCCCAGCTACTCTGTAGGCAGAGATCAGGAGGATTGAAATTCAAAGCCAGCCTGGGCAAGATAGAGCCAGACTCTATCTCAGGGGGAAGGGGGGGTGGAGAACAACACAAAACAAGATTGGTGGAGTAAGCTTAAGTGGTAGAGCACTTGCCTAACAAGTGTAAAGCCTTGAGTTCAAACCCAGTATTGCCAAAAAAAAACCAAAAAAAAAAAAAAACAAGAAGGAAAAAGAAAAACCACCTTAGCCCTTTCTGAGGGTCTCCCACTAAGCCCAACTTTTTTTTTTTCCTGGTACTGGGGCTTGAACTCAGGGCTTTCACCTTGAACCACTCCACCAGCCCAATTTTTTGTGATTTTTTTTTTTTTTTGAGATAGGGTCTCATGGTACTACTTCCCCAGGCTGGCTTTGAACCATGATCCTTCTGATCTCTGCCTCCTGAGTAGCTGGGATCACAGGTGTGAGCCACCTGCGCCCAGCATTAAGCCCAACTTCTTAAAGGTCCTACCTACTTCTACACTGCCACACTGGGGACCAAGCCTTCAACACATGAACCCTTGGGGAACAAACATACATAACGTATGTTCTATTGCCTGCAATTTTCAGACATGTAACCCTTTGCTGTGTCTGCAGGTTCTTATTCATGGTGTATTGTTCCCTTGTGTGTGTTGAAATAATGGCTCACCTTTAACAGGACATAATCTACTCGAAGTCCCTGTGGCCTTGTTAAGGGTGTGACTCTGCAGGTGACTTTCCTGTATTTTTGCCTTACTTTCATCTTCAATTTCATAGATCTTTCCTGTGTTTTTCTTTTTGGCAGCACTGGGATTTGAACCCAGGTCTCACACATGTTATTTGGATATTTTTGACCACTCAGAAGCCCACAACTCTTTGGTATATAGTTTGTTGTTTTGGGCGGCACCACTCACACTTGCAAGGCAGGGACTTTTACCACTTGAGCCACTCCTCCAACTCCTATTTTTTTGTGTGTGATAGGCTTTTTTGCAATAAGGTCTAGCGACCAACTTACCTGGCTGGACCTTTGGTGTGTGAGGGTCTATGGCTCCAAGGAGCAGCAGGGGAAGGAAGCTAGGGATTGCTGGAGATGATCACTGTGCGGGCTGTACTGCGCTGCTTGGTTCATTTTCCCACAATGCCATTCAACCTCTGCTAAAGACAGGCAGCCTTTCCAGAGATCTAAGATTGTCACTTTATCACTTCAATTAAGCACATTCACTTTGACATTGTTTTGGGGCACTCTTTGCTTTTTGGGAGGCAAATCTTCATAAAATGAAGGGTGGGGAACACTCAGCACATCACGAATAATTTAAAAATAAATAGCAATAATGCAAGACCTAGCTGCGTGAGGTGTGTGTAGGAATTTCAAATTTTTGTTTTCCAAATTCCTTTCTTAGTTTACTTACCTTTTCTTTTTCTTTTTGAACTCAGGGCCTGGAGCTTGCTAGGCAGGCGCTGTACCACCTGAACCATGCCCTCAGCCCTTTTTTGTTTAGTAATTTTTTCTCATAGGGTCTCTGGCAAGGCCGAAGATCTGTATCATCCTCCCTACACCTCCCACAAAGCTAGGATCACAGACATGTGCCACCACCCCAGCTTGTTGATTGAAATGAGGTCTCACTAACTTTTTGCCTGGGCTGGCCTCCAACCGCAATCTTTCTGATCTCCACCTCCCAAGTAGCTGGGATTACAGGTGTGAGCCACTTTGCCAGGCTACTTATCTTTGTGACCTTACTTGGTCAAAACCACATGCAAGAAATTTACCTAGTGCTAACTTATTTGTACCTAGGTCTGATGGAGTGGCTCAAGTGGTACAGCTCCTGCCTAGCAAGCATGAGACCCTGAGTTCAAACCCCAGTGCTGGCAAAAAAAAATTTTTTAAAGAGAATAATGCTCTAAGCTCACGTGGCATTGGGGACAGGAGGAGTGGCTTGGGTGTCACACTCCTTGCTGCCATGTACAGTGCGCCTCTCCCTGTGCACCAGCTGTTTGCAAGGCTGCTGTCCTCTCCTCGCACAGGTAGCATGATCTCCCCTCCTGCTTTCCATCTTCCAAGAACGTGCTGGTATCTACCTGCTCCCTCTTTCTCTTTGTCAAGGTCAATGACATAGATTACTCTGCTCATGCCTTTGCAGCCATGTTAATGGCACGAAAGACGATCGATCTGTGTGGTCAAAGCCATCGTTTGTCACATGCTGGACGCTTGGACCCAATGTGAATTGAGAAGTGGTGAAGCCAGACCGTGGTGGCTCACGCCTGTAATCCTAGCTACTTGGGAGGCTGAGATGGGAGGATTGAGATTTGAGGCCAGTCCTGGCAAATAGTTTGTGAGACCCTATTTCCAAAATAACGAGAGCAAAATGGACTGGAGTTGTGGCTTAAGTGGCAGAACACCTGCTTTGCAAGTGTTAGTTCAAACCCCAGTCTCACCTCTCCCAACCCGAGAGAGAGAGAGAGAGAGAGAGAGAGAGAGAGAGAGAGAGAGACCTTTAAGAGCTGGGGTTTAGTGGGAAGTAATTAGGTTGTGGAGGCTCTGCCTTTGGAAGGGAACAGTGACTGTCTCCTGGTTGGGGGCAGGGGTTAGGTCTCTAGGGACTGATTAGTTACCATGGGAGTGTTTTTTTGTTTTGTTTGTTTTAAGATCAGGTTTTGCTATGTAGCGAGGCTAGACTTGAACTCTGGATCCTGCGTCAGCCTCCTGAGTGCTGGGATTATAAGCACGCACCACCACACCTGGCGGAGGTGTGTTACTGTAAAGGGACCCACCCTTCCGCACATGCCCCTCCCTGCTCTCCCCTTACCCCACCAGGTGATGTGATCCGCCTTTGTTATGGAGCTTCTGAGTTCCCTGCCTGATGGAGCCAGCCAAGCTTGGAACTTTCAGCCTCCAAAACTATGAGCTAAATAAACCCCTTTCCTTCCTTATCACCCAGCCTCAAATACTTTGTTACAGCAAGACAAAACTGAGCAGGACAGTCAGCTTGCCTTTTTTTTTCTTTCTAAACATCGTTCTGAAATGTAGACCCGACCTGACCAGGTCTCCAGTCTTCTGAGGACATATCCATAAAAACCTTGAAATGATCTCTGCTGCTGGCAGGAGTTGTCATGTTTTTTGTGTCAATGAACCATCTTGCTGATTTGTTGGTAAAACCCATTCAGCATCCTGGCTCCAGGTCAGTGTGACGCAATCTTCTTCTTCTCCTGCTCCCTCTCCCTCTTCTTCATCTTCTTCTTTTCTTCTTCATCTTTGGTGGGTCTGGTCTTTGAACTCAGGGCTTTGCACTACCACTTGAGCCACACCTCCAGTCCATTTTGCTCTGGTTATTTTGGAGATGGGGTCTCACGAACTATTTGCCTGGATCTTCCAGATCTCAGCCTCTCAAGATTACAGGTGTGATTACAGGTGTGATTACAGGTGTGATTATGGGTGTGATTACAGGTGGGATTACAGATATGATTACAGGTGTGATTACAGATATGATTACAGGTGTGAGTCACTGGTACCTAAATTCAACAAGCTTCTGTAGTGAGTAATTTGCAATGTCAGCCAAACAAACTAGCAGGACATGACTGTCAGTATCCACAGTTCAGAAGGACTTCTTTGAATGCTTTTATTTTTGTTTTATATTTACTTTTCGTGGTACTAGGAGTTGAACTCAGGACCAAATACTAGGCAGGCAACTGTCATTTGAGCCATGCCCCCAGTCCTTTTGCTTTTAGGTTGTTTTTCAGATAGGATTTTGCCTGTTTTTGCCCATTCCAGCCTCACACCAGCCTCAGACCATGGTCCTCCTGAGTAGCTGGGATTACGGGCATACACCACCATGCCCAGCTTGCCAATGGTCATCAATATTATAGGAAAATTAAGGCAGGAAAGATTGGGAGTGGGCTCGTTTTCTGTGGGTTTACTGCTATAAATGACCACTAGCTACAAGTCTTAAAACAACACACACTTATTTTTTTGATAGTTCTGAAGGTCAGAAGTCTCTGCCAGGAGTTGCAGCCGGCTAAAACCAAAGCCTTGGCAAGGCTGTACTCCCCTGGAGAGTCCCTAGCCTTTTCCAGCAGGTTTTGGAGCCAAATTCTTTGCATTCCTTGGCTCACCAGTCAGCCCTCCACCTTCAAAGCTAGTCTTCCTCTGCATTTTGTTTATTTATTTTCAGTCTGCCGGGCATGTACGTGAGCCATGCCCCCAGCCCTTTTGTCTCCATTTTGTCTTTAAGATGGGGGTCTCCCTAACTTTGCCCAGGCTGACCTGGAATTTGGAGTCTCTATGCCTCTGCTAGGATTACAGCTGTGAGGATCAAGGTTCAAGGGCAGCCCAGACAAATAGTTCTCAAAACCCCATTTTCAAAATAACCACACCAAAATGGACTGGAGGTGTGACTCAAGCAGTAGAGTGCCTGTTTTGCATATGCAAAGTCCTGAGTTCAAACCTCACTCCCCCCAAATAAAACCAAAAAAATACAAAAAATCAAAACATGAACAAAAGCCTCATTCTCATGGAGCTGACATTGAATAAGCAGCAGGCTGGGCAAGGTAGCACCCGCCTGTAATCCCAGCACTCAGGAGGCTAAGGCAGGGGAATCTCAAGGTCTGGGCCAGCCTGGGTTACATAGTGGGATCCTGTTTGAAAATACAAAACTAAAATAACAAAGCTCCCACGCATTGAGCACGTGAGACTTTGAGATTGGCTGTGAAGAAAAAAAGCAGGGCAGGGGCATAGAGGGTAGTGTGTTTGTGTGGGGTGGGGAGGTGCTGGGTTCAACTCATATGTGAGGGAAGGCCTCACTGAGAAGGTGATATTGGCACAAAGACTTACAGGAGGTGAGGGACATCAGGAAACTCCGCATTTCAAACCCAAGAAATAGCAGGTGCAAAGACCCTGGGGTAGGATGGGTCTGGAGTGTTTTGGAAACTGGAAGAAGGTCTTGCACAGAATGAATTGAGGGAGAAAGAAAAGCAGGTTGGTGCAGGGGGCAATAAGTAACAATAAGTAGTTACAGAGGGCTCTCTAGGCCATATCAATTATTTTTTAATTTTAATTTTTTTTTTGTGGCAGTACTGGGGTTTGAACTCAGGATCTTGCTCTAGCTAGGGAGGTGCTCTTTCATTTGAACAATGCCCCAGCCCTTTTTGCTTTTAGTTATTTTCAGACAGCATCTTGATTTTTACCCTAGGGTAAACTTAGACTGAGATCCTCCTACCTAATTGCTGGGTTAAAAGTTTAAGACACTAAGCTCGACTTGGTGAGATGGGGCCTTGCTAACTTTTTCCTGGGACTGGCCTCAATTGGGGATCCTCCTGATCTTTGCCTCCTGATTATAGCTGGGATTATAGTAGTGAGTCACCTTGCCCAACACCACAGGAAAGATTTTTGATTTGACTATGCCTGCACCTCCAGCTGGACCCACCTCTATTGTTCAAACTGACCTCAGAGCTCCACCCACACATCTTCCTTTCAGCACTTTCAGGCCTCAAGGTTTTCTCCCTAGATGGCCCTCCTGCTTCCTTGATCCGTTTTCATTGCCTGGTTAGGTCATTTTCATTCTCCCTGGCTCTACTCAAAACCCACTTCTTCCAGGAAGCCTTCCTGACCACTCATTAGCAGGCTTCAAGGTAGAAACCTTTTTAGTTTCCTTCACAGCATTGTCATATATATATATATATATATATATATATATATACACACTTATTTTTTTTTCTGCCAGCACTGGAGTTTGAACTCAGGGCCTTCACCTTGAGCCACTCCACCAGCCCTTTTTGTGATGGGTTTTGAGATAGGGTCTTACAAACTATTTGTCGGGGCTGGCTTCAAACCTTGATCCTCCTGATCTCTCCCTCTTGAGTAACTAGGATTACAGACACGGACCACTGACACCCAGTTCTCACACATTTATGAGAACAGGAACTGTGGCTGTCATGGTCACTTTTATGTTCCAGTGTCTAGCACAGGGTCAGGAACACGGTAGATACTTCATCACTATCTGTCAAACAAATAAAAGCTAGCATTTATTTATTTGTTTTTGGTGTGATTGGGGTTTGAACTCAGGGCTCCACCCTTGCAAAGCAGGCGCTCTACCACTTGAGCCACATTTTGCTCTGGTTATTTTGGAGATGGGGACCTCATGTACTATTTTCTCAGATTGGCCTGGAAACTCCATCCTCCTGATCTCAGCCTCTTAAACAGCTAGGATTACAGGCGTGAGCCACTGGCGCCTGGCTAATGCTATTGAATGTTGCTTTGTGTTAAGCCTAGTTTTAACTGCTTCATGTGGGTTCATTTAAGATCACTTAACATTGTATTTAAATTGCATTTTTTGAGTACTGGGGCTTGAACTCAGGGCCTAGCACTTGCTATAGACAGGCGCTCTACTGCTTGAGCCACGCCTCCAGCCCAAGAGCCTTTACATTGTAGACACTCTCGCTGCTCCGACTTTGCAACGGAGAAGACAGAATCCCAGAGAAGTCAGGTAGTTTGATCAAGGTCACACAGTGGAGCCAGGATTTGGAGCAGGTGCTCTGGTTCCAAGCCCACACCTTAGCCACCAAACCACATTGCCTTTCCTTTACTACCTGATTACAACATTTATTTTTTTATTTTATTTTATTTTTTTAAATCTGAAAGTTGATTTATTTCATTGTAAACTATTCTAATCCTTGAAACCAAGTGCAGGTAGAGAGATAGTTCATCTTCCCAAACATTTTTATCTTAATGGTGCTTTGGCTTTCTTCCCAAATTCAGTAGAAATATTTAGTAATTTGAAAAATCTTATTCCTCCATGAGCCTGCAAAGTTACTATTATTGTTGCAAATCTTTCCTATCTGTGGTCTGTTTCTGTTCTACCTAAGTAGTACAACAAAGTTACTTAATAATAAGCATTGCTAATTCATAGGTAGTCCAGGATGATAAAATGGTAAATGACCTAAAAAGATTTGGTGTAGGTGGAACACAGTGTCTGCAAATACCTGCCTGGCAGGAAACCCTGTTTGGAGAGGAGGAGCCATGTAGGGGGTTGTAGGCCAGGACAAAGTCTGTGCTCAGGAAAATGTGTGTAATTATATTCTCACTTGATTCAGTGACTCTTAAAAACTTAACATGTGGAACTTCATTCAGGTAACTATCAGGTTACCAATTTTTGATCGGATCTGTAAGTGCACGAAAAGCTGTTTTTGATTTCCATAACCTAAGTTACTGCAATAATCTTTTGTCAGCTGATAACCTAACCAAAATGGAGTTCAAGCATTTTATTGAGCATATTCCTTTTCTAGGAGTTTTTATCTTTAAAGGAACACAGACACTGTGCCCAATGCTTTTCCTACTTGGGATAACTGAGGTAACAAGACTGTATGGCTTCGTTTGCGTCCGGGTCTGGCCTTTCGGTCGGGTCACCTTCAGAAGAGGATCTCCAGCACCAGCTTGAGGATGCTGATGAGGACGGTCCAGAGCACGGACTCCTCCTCCGGCGCCGGCCCCGAGCCGTCCGCGTTCTCCCCGGGGGCGGCCTGGCGCGGCGGCCGCGGCTCGGCCGTGCGGTCCTGGTCCACCTTCATCTCGAAGTCGCTGGTGTCGTGGGACGGGTGTCCGTAGATGCCGACGCCGACGGGGCGCCGGAAGTGCGCGGGGACGGCGACCACGTCGCGGCCGCAGGTGGCCGACTGCAGCTCGCGGTCGTCGAAGCTGGGGTGCAGGGTGCTGCCGGACACGCACAGGTCGGCGTCCCCGCGCAGGCTGTGCACGCTGAGCTAACCCCGCCCTCGTGGTTCAGCCGCAGGTAGCTGTAGTTGCCGGCCCCGATCTGGCCCTGGACTACGTGCAGGAGGAGCCACTGCTCGGGGACGTCGTCGTCTGCCAGGCCCAGCACCAGGGTCACGGCCTGCGACGCCAGCAGCGCCAGCAGCGCCCGTCTCCAGGAGGCGGCGGTCCCGCGGGGCGCGGCCATCGCTCCTCAGCGCCGGGGCGTCCTCACGGGCAGTGCTGCGTGGGGAAGTACAGGCGACAGCTGGGCCACAGGAGCCCCGCCTCGTCCCGGCCACCCGGCGCGCTGCCTCCCCGCGCCACGCCACGCCACGCCGGCACGGCCGCTCGGGGGGCCCGGGGCGGACCAGGGGGAAGGGGGCAGGGCTGCCCTCCCCGAACTCACCGCCGTACCCCGCGGCCCGCCGCGCCCGCAGCACCCGGGCCCGGCACGGCCTCTTGCAGCGACCGGAAGAGAAACCTGATTACAACATTTATTTAGCACAGCCAGGCAAACAGTAGGCGCTCAATAAATGGGAGGAGCTATTTATAAATTGCTTATCCTAAGTCTGGACACAGCAGATATTTTATAAATGCTTGTTTGGTGCAGTGAAACCAGTGCATCCCCGATTTCCCTGTCATCCTTCTCTGGACTCCACTCAGACAACCTGGGCAGACACACAGGAAGCTCTAACGCTAATGAATTGCTCGATTCTCTCTACTCTCTTCTTGCCATGCTTGTTCTTAGTCCTCGGCGATCCTCAGCGATGCCTGTTGCACCGCTTCTCTCTCTGGAGCCCGCCCTTGCATCAAAGTGCGCATGCGCATATCCTGATTGGCTCCGCCCCCGAAGTGACAGGCAAGGCTGGCCAATGGCGTCGCGATGGAGGTGGAGCAATCCCTCGAGGAGGCCGCCTACATCCCTACCCCTCATTGACTATTCATGAGGAAGGCGAGTGGACGCAGCTACACGCCGCCGCCGCCGCCGCCATGAAGTGAGCAGGGGTCCGGGGATAGCGGCTCCCGAGCGGGCTTGGGGGTGGCGGGGGGAGGAGTCTTAGATGATGGGGGGACCGGTGGATGAGCCCAGGACCCCGACAGAGCGAAGGGAGGTTGGAGGGAGGGGCGGGGACGGGACGGCAGCGAGGAGACGCCGACGTCGAGGGGGGCCTTGGGGGACTTGGGGTGTTGGGCCCGCCGGCGGGGGCGGGTGGACGCTGGAGACCGGCTTCAGCTGACCCCGCCGCCAGGCTCAACGTGGACGGGCTGCTGGTCTACTTCCCGTACGACTACATCTATCCGGAGCAGTTCTCGTACATGCTGGAGCTCAAGCGCACGCTGGACGCCAAGGTGGGTGGGCGGGCGGGGGTCAAGGCCAAGGTCGCGGGGCATCTGCGCGGCTTTTTTTTTTTTTTTTTGGTGGGACGGGGATTTGAACTCAGGGCTTCGCCTTTGCAAAACAGGTGCTCTAAGCGCCTCCTCTAGAGCCACGCCTCCAGTCCATCATACTCTGGTTATTTTGGAGATTGGGGAGGTTGGGGGCGGTTCATGAACTGTTTGCCTGGGCTGGCCTCCAACTTTGATCCTCCCGAGCTCAGCCTCCCAAGTAGCCAGGATTACAGGCATGAGCCACGTACGCCTGGCTACATCTAGCCCTAGGGAATCCAGGACTCCTGAATTTCTTGTCCTCCAAAATAATAATGGTTAATAATGGCGACAGTTGACATTTATGGCAGACCGTGGTCGCCGATGCTTAGGAATAATTAGAATGTAGAGTCTGCAGCCTGTCATGGAGTTCCACTCCAAGGGCTGCCAGCCAGGCACCCTTAGGCTCATCATTAGCTTCCTTGTCTTTTTCATTTGTGTAAAATGGGACAGCGCTCACCCAGCATGTGGGAGGGGACCCTGGGTTCCATCCCCAGCACCACAGTAAGTACATAAGCTGGGATAGTGACAGTACCTACTTCATGCATGAGGAGGGTTTGCGACTTTGCTGATGAAAGGCAGCAGTTCTCAGTGGGGGTGTAACTGACACTGGGTTACTCCCGGTTGTGGCACCGGTGGAGGGGAGGGGCTGCTGGTCTCTGCTGCTACTGAACATCCCACAGGACACAGGACAGTCCCCAGAAGTGAGTAGAGCTGAGCTTGAGAAACCCTGATGTGACATAATACTATGACATAAAAGGGGGACTTTGTGGGGGGAGATGGGAGGGAGGGAGAGGGGAAGGGCAAGGAGATGGGGGGAATGTGATGGAAATACTGTGTAGTTACGAAAGAAAAAATAGCTTAGTGAGGAGGACTGCTCAAGCAGTAGAGTGCCTGCTTTGCAAGCATGAAGGCCTGCAAACCCCAGTCCTACCCGCCCCCAAAAAACAGCATAATGAAACCCACTAAAAACTTTAAAGGGAGGGGGGAGAAGGGAAGGGGACTAAGAAAGAATAACATATAGAGGGGGTTAATTTGATCAGAGTATGTATGTGAATTGGATCATGTGTGTGTAAATATCACAGTGAAATCCCTTCATGAAGTTAACTTATGTAATACATCTTAAAAAAAAGATCAGCCCCATTGTGAGATGTTCAGAAACAGCACTAAGCATGGAGAACTGTGGCTGTTTTTGCTAAGTTAAAAGGTCACCGTATGTGAGGTACTGTGCCAGGTGCTTAACCCATGATTTCTCAGTGCTCTTCCCACTTGTGCTGAAAGGGCTCATTGGGCCTGTTTTAGAGATGAGGTTACTGTGGCCCAGAGAGGTAAAAGTACTTGCTTAAAACTGCTCACGGTGGAGGTGGCAGAAACAGTGTTCAGGCGGGGTATGATGGTGCATGCCTGTAATCCCAGCTACTTAGGAGGTGGAAGCAGGAGAATCATAAGACCAGCCTGAACAAAATAAGCAAGATCTTGTCTCAAAAGCTGGGGGTGTGTCTTAAGTGGTAGCAAGCTTGAGGTCTTGGGTTCCATCCCCAGTACTAGGGGAAAAAAAAGAGAGAGAAAGAAAGAAAAGTAGGGTACGGGATTCACACCTACTGTCCCGAGGGCACAGACTTTTTTTTTTTTTTTTTGCGGTACTGGGGCTTGAACTCAGCCTACACCTTGAGCCAGTCCACCAGCCCTTTTTGTGATGGGTTTTTCAAGATAGAGTCTTGCCAACTATTGGCCTAGGCTGGCTTCAAACCACAATCCTCCTGATCTCTGCTTGCTGAGTAGCTAGGATTACAGGCGTGAGCCACCAATGCCAGGCTAGGGCACAGACTTTTAGCTGCCACATTGTCCCACTGTTTCCAGATGGTGGCATTTGGGGGAGGGCCCTAGAGTTTGTGTTCCTGAGGTTTGAGAGACTGTGTTTTGTCCTTCCTGCCCACAATACCATAGGGTCATGGAGTCCTGGAGATGCCCTCAGGCACTGGAAAGACAGTGTCCTTGCTGGCCCTGATCATGGCATACCAGCGGGTGAGTGACCCCTGCACCCATGGGAAGGGGAGAGGGGAAGGGCTGAATGAGTGCTGAGTTCCCACATCATCAACAGGCATATCCACTGGAGGTGACCAAACTTATCTACTGCTCCAGGACAGTGCCAGAGATTGAGAAGGTGGGCTGGTGGATCCGTGCTCTGTCCCCTCCCCTCCCCAGGCCTGGTTGATCCCTGGTATTTGTCACTAGTTCTGGGGTGGGGAAGAGGCAAGGGCCTATTGGGCAGGGCTGGTATTTTTTGAGCAGGTTATTGAAGAGCTACGTAAACTGCTCAGCTTCTACGAGAAGCAGGAGGGTGAGAAGCTGCCGTTCTTGGGACTGGCCCTGAGCTCCCGTAAGAACCTGTGTATTCACCCTGAGGTGAGCACCATTCCTTCCCTTGCCCTACCTGGGCTTCAGGAGACGTCTATCCATCCTGTCACAAGTCCTAGATCCCCCCACTAGACCTCTTGGAGAGTCTGGGGGGGCCACACAAAGAATTCCCGTCTCACTTGTCAAAATCTGACACTTGGTTTATGGCCTGGGTGAGCACACCTCTTCTGGGGAGCCCTCCTACTCTCCCTCAGCCCAGGAGTGGTGAAATACCAGCTTCTAGAGTATGATAGGCTTGGCTTCTTACTTTTAACTTGTTAGCTGTGTGCTTTTGGACAGGTGATTTCTGCCAGCAGAGCCTTAATCTTCCCTTGTGTTTGAAAGGGGGATAACTAAGTACCTGCCTCAGAAGATTGATGAGATGATACAGTCACAGCCCTTAGTGTGTTCAGAGAGCTAAAGAATAAAAAAATTGTCAGGGGCCAGGCACTGGTAGCTCACGCCTCTAATCCTAGCTACTGAGGTTTGAAGCCAGCCTGGGCAAATAGTTCATGAGACCCTATCTTGAAAAAACCCATCATACACACACACACAAAATAGGACTGGTGGAGTGGCTCAAAGTATAGGCCCTGAGTTCAAGCTCCCAGTGCCAAAAGAAAAAAAAATTGGGTTTTTATATACACAAGAATATAGAACACAGGATTGAGGGTGTAACAGTGGTGGAGTGCTTGCCTAACTGCACAAGGCCCTGGGTTCAATCCCCAGCACCACAAAATAACTAAATAAATGAGTGAAAAAGCATGTATAATATAGAATCTTAGTTGTTGCTAAGTTGTATTACAAAGATACTGTGTTCCTGGGCATGGTGGCACATGCCTGTAATCCCAGCCCTTGAGAGATTGAGGAAGAGGATCACAACTTCAAGGAACTGGGTTATAGTGCCATCTTGTCTCAAATAAAAACAAAAACAAAAACCCCAAAACACTGCCAGGGACTGAGCTAAGTGCTTGCCATGTGACAGCTCATGGCATGTATTCTGTTACATTATTGTAGGGCTATCTGAGAAAGGTGGAGGAAGAGAAGGGTCCGCAGCCTGAGAGCCCTCCCTTCTGCGTAAGGAGCCCTGGGCTGGGATGGTGCCACACACCAGTGAGCCGCAGAGAGCAGGGCAGAGGTTGTGGGTGCTCAGCCTGGGGGATCAGAACCACCTCCCCCTTCTGTGTACTTTGGCATTTCGGAGAGTAAATTATACTTATCCTGCACACTGAAGCTTCTTCAAGGCTCAGGGTTTGGTTGATGTGTTTGTTCATATCTGTGTAGTTTGGCAGTGCTAAGAATGTCACCCGTGACTGCTGTACCACTGAGCCCTACCCCCGCCCAAGGGTCACTCTTTAAAAATACAAGTTGAGGGTTGAGTGTCTGCTTTGGAAGTGCGAGGCCCTGAGTTCAAACCCCAAAATAAAGTACAGGCTGAGCACCCAAAAGATCAAAAATGCTCCAAAATCTGAAACTCCAACCTTAAACCACACGTGGAGAATTCCATACCTGACCTCATGTCATGGGTCAAAGTCAGAATGCCAGCACACAGGAATGTGTGAAATCCAGGCTGTGAGACATGTTTACACTGTGTCCTGTCCCCGAGATATGTCATCACGTAGATGGAAATACTCCAAAATCCTAAAACATCTCAAACCAAAACTTTTTTTTTTGCAGTCCTGGGGTTTGAACTCAGCGCCTCATGCTTGCTAGGCAGGCACTCTCCCACTTGAGCCACTCCATCAGCCCTTTTTTTGTGTTGAGTATTTTCAAGATGGGATCTCTTGAACTGTTTTCCTCTGCTGGCTTCGAACCACGAGCCCCCTGATCTCTGCCCCCTGAGTAGGTAGGATTATAGGTGTGAGCCACTAGTGCCTTGCTCCCAAAATACTTCTGGTGCCAAGAACTTCAGATACGGTGTGCTTGAGCTATAATCGTTTTGAGTTCTGACTACATTGCCACTCTCACGTCTCTGCAGTAAGTTTCCAGGTGTCTTAACCAACAGTGAAACAGGTGAAGGTCAAGTTGTCCAAATGTCCCAGCTGGCCTCCCATCCCAGGCAGCTGTTGGTGCGGAGGCCCGAATTGGAGCTATTGAGCAGGTTACTGTGTCTGAAGCCAGGATGTTCCCACACCTCCAGGTGACGCCCCTGCGCTTTGGAAAGGATGTGGATGGGAAATGCCACAGCCTGACGGCCTCCTACGTGCGGGCGCAGTACCAGCGGGATGCCAGCCTGCCCCACTGCCGCTTCTATGAGGTGCCTGGGGCGTGGGCTGAGGGAGGCTGAGAGCTGGGAGTGGCCAGCCTCCCTGACCTGCTACCCTCTCACCTGGCCCCAGGAGTTCGATGTCCATGGGCGCCAGGTACCCCTTCCTGCTGGCATCTACAACCTGGATGACCTGAAGGCCGTGGGGCAGCGCCAGGGCTGGTGCCCATACTTCCTTGCCCGCTATTCGGTCAGGAGGCCAGTGGGGTGGGCAGAGGGCAGGTTGTCAGCCCATCTGTCTGTCTACTCGTGTGTAGCTCTGCCTGCAGCTCCCTGATGGCCAGTGCATCCCTGGGTTGTCTGTTGGTGTCTGTATCCATGTGCCTGTGTTAGTCTGTGCGCTGTCTGTCCATTTGCTTATGTCTCTTTCCACTGTCGCCTCTGTGGGCTTCTGAGGGTGGCAGGGCCCAGGGTGCTCACTGGAAGGGAAGCCAGGTAACCCATCACTCCCCCAGATCCTGCACGCCAACGTGGTGGTTTATAGCTACCACTACCTCCTGGACCCCAAGATCGCAGACCTGGTGTCTAAGGAGCTGGCCCGCAAGGCTGTTGTGGTCTTCGATGAGGCCCACAACATCGGTGAGCTGGCGGCCAAGGTGCAGAAGTGATGGCAATACCTGAGGCTACCACCCTGCCAGCCTGGCTGAGCCCAGCTCTCTCCCGTCCTTCAGATAACGTCTGCATCGACTCTATGAGTGTCAACCTCACCCGCCGGACCCTCGACCGCTGCCAGGGCAACCTGGACACCCTGCAGAAGACGGTGCTCAGGTGTGGAGTTAAGTGTGACTGGGAGCCCCTAGTACCCACCATGCTCCCTGCCCCTGGTGCCCACCCTCTTCCCTGTGTCCCCCAGGATCAAGGAGACAGATGAGCAGCGCCTGAGGGATGAATACCGGCGCCTAGTGGAGGGGCTGCGGGAGGCCAGCGCTGCGCGGGAGACTGATGCCCACCTGGCCAACCCCGTGCTCCCTGATGAGGTGCTGCAGGGTGAGCTGCTGCCCACTGCCACCTGCTCCCTGTTCCTCCCACCTTGTGCCCGCTGACCACGGTCTCCCTGCAGAGGCGGTGCCTGGCTCCATCCGCACGGCTGAGCACTTCCTGGGCTTCCTGCGGCGGCTGCTGGAGTACGTCAAGTGGCGGCTGCGCGTGCAGCACGTGGTGCAGGAGAGCCCACCTGCCTTCCTGAGCGGCCTGGCCCAGCGCGTGTGCATCCAGCGCAAGCCCCTCAGGTGCGGCTCACCTGCGGCGTGGTCACCGCTTCACCGGTGTTGGGGGACACTGGACACTGGTCACCTGGGCAGGTCCATGGTCCAGGGTAGAGCTGGTCCTGGTGGCTGTGTTGGTCAGGGCCTGGCAGACAGCACAGGGATGTCTGAGGTCTGCCTGAAGAGGGTTTAATGGAGGACTGCGGATGGGCACAGGACAGAGCAGCCCTCAGGCCATGGACAAACAGGGAGCGGGGTTGAGAGCCACCAGGTGGGGCCTGGAGAGACTCCAGGTGGAAGCTGAGACCACCACCCCAAGACCTGGCAGGACAGGAACGGGGTTGGGGAGATGCCTGTGTCCTTCTGCCGGTGCCTCTTCCTACCCAGCACCACCCTCAGCCGGAGGGAGGGCCCTTCCCATGGTTCAGTCTGCATCTGGGTTTATCATTCTCCTGAGTGAGCAGGTCGGGGTAGGAGGAGGGGTTCCTTTGCTTGGCCTTTGCTGTACTTGGTCAGCCATTGGTCTCTGAACCTCAGTCTCCTCTGTGCCATGGGGTGGGGGTGAGCGTCTTTGCCTCTCGGCATTCTTTGGTGGTTGGAGGAGAAAGCGGTGAAACAGCCACCCACTCCAGAGCACCAGGGTCATGAACCCCATGTCCCTTACCTCAGTAGGGTCCCTGCTGCTCTGTTCCTGAGAAGGATAGCCCTGGGAGTGGCTTTTCTTATGTTCCCCCTACACACCCACCCATGGGGACTTGTGAAGGCAGACACGGTCTCAGTGTTTTAGGGACACAGCAGTGACTGAGACAAGCAGGGCTGCCCACATGGGCCTGTGGCCCAGTGGAAGAGACAGGCTTCTCCCAGATTGTGGTGACCAGAGTTGGGGAAGTCCAATGGTGCCAGCCAGCCTGGGGGCAGAGGAGACAGGTTTCAAGTCTCCTCACAAAGCCAGGCCACCCCTGCCCTACAGCTGTCCCTGAGGGTGCCTAAGAGGCAGGGTAGGAGGCTCTGGTATGAACATGTGGTGTGCAGTGTTACTGCTGTGCCTGGAGCTCTGGGTTGGACTTGGGTCTCATTTTGATGAGATGTGTGAGGCATGTGTGACAAGTGACATGCTCTGAATGTGCCTTGTAGTGGTGGCTCTGTGTGATGTGTGTTTGTGCAATGCAGGAACATAGAAGTTTCTGGAACAGATCTAGCCCCCTGCCTCCCAATACCCACTACCTGGGGAGACATGTGACCAATAGCCCTGACAGCAGATGAGGGGACCCCAGTCCTGTTCTACCTCACCTCCTTTCCCTAGGTTCTGTGCCGAGCGCCTCCGCTCCCTCTTGCACACCTTGGAGATCGCTGACCTGGCTGACTTCTCCCCCCTCACCCTGCTTGCCAACTTTGCCACCCTTGTCAGCACCTATGCCAAGGGTGAGTTCGCTCTCCTGCCTCTGCCAACCCCCGGCAGCTGGACTGTGGATCCCATGAGCCTGGAGGGTTGTGGCAGGGGCTTGGGAGTTTGGGTTCAATTTTGAGAGCACTGGGGAGCAACAGGCAGCTCCTGAGTGAGTGAGCCATTTTCCAAGGCTCCCTCTGCCTCCAGAGTGGAGAAGGACCATGGTAGACAGTGGTGTGAGATGAGGCTGGGACATGCTGTGGGGTCACCGTAGGGCATGTGAGGGCACTGGGGAGCCATGGCAGGTTCTGAGCAAGGGAGGTCCTGGTCAGATGTGTGCTTGGGAAGAATCTTCGGCAGGGTCTGGAGATGGGAGATGGGGAGGGGATTGGGCAGGGGGCAGTCAGAGCTGTGGTTTGGAGAGATGTGGGAACAAGTGCCTGGATGAGAGGAACTGTGTGTGACTCTCAGGTTCGTGGCTGACAGGAGGGGGATGGTCCTCCGGAGCTTTCTCTGTCAGGGTTCCTCCCTTCTCAGCTTTAAGCTGGCCGAGGCTGGGTCTGATCCCTAGGGATTATGCAGGTTATTCGCTGCCCACAAAACCAGGTCAGGTCTGACATCCTGAAGTGGCCAGCAGGACATGGGCTCTGTCACCCCTGCCTCAGCACTACTGAGCCTCCTGCTTGCTAGGCATGATCTGCCATTTAAGCTGTGACTCCAGTCCTTTTTGTTTTGTTATTTTCTTTTAGATGGGGCTCTTGCTAACTTTGCCAGGGACTGGCCTCCAACCAGGTTCCTCCCAATCTCAGCTTCCTGAGTAGCTGGGGTTATAGGTGTGAGAAACTACACCCAGCAAAAGCTTGCCTCAAAAATTTTTTTTTTTTTGGGGGGGTATGGGTACTGGGGATTGAATTTGGGGCCTCAAGCCTGCCATTTGGGCCACACCCCCAGCCCCTCTGCTTCTTTCCATGTCAGTCCCTGTCGCACTGTCTTTCCCCCTTGACCTGTATGCTTAGCACTGCCTTGCCGTCACTTATCTGGGACCTCTTTTCCATCCTCACTCCAGCCACGTCTTACATTAGGAAGCTGAGCCAGGCCTCTCCTCTGGGCTCCTCTGTCCCAGCCCTGCTTCCAGTTTTCATTCTGGGGATATGTGTCTTCCCTGCTGGACTGTGGGCTCCTGTGAGCAAGGCTGAGGCTGTCTTGGTCACTGCTGTGTCCTCAGCAAAATGCTGGCCGCAGAGGACTGGATGGGTTTTACTCAGTGAAATTGAATCTGAATTTCATTTGTTTTGGGCCAGGCCCAGCACTGTGG